GAGGATCCACAACAGCTGGGCCCTTCTGCACCACAACAGCCCCCGCCCCCACCCCACCCCGCCCCAGCAATGAAACCCAACACACCGCGAGATCGGGGCCCAGCCAGGGGGGAAGTGAGCTGGGGACAGAACCCAGGAGTCCGTGTTCCCAGCTCCCCCCAACCCCGCTCTAACCAGTAGACCCCACTCCCCTCCCAGACCAGGGAGAGAACCCAGAGTCCTGGTTCCCAGCTTCCCCCACCCCAGACCCCACTCCCCTCCCAGACCAGGGAGAGAACCCAGGAGTCCTGGTTCCCAGCTCCCCCCACCGCCCTTCTAACCACCAGGCCCCACCCCTCTCCCAGACCAGGGAGAGAACCCAGGAGTCCTGGCTCCCAGCCCCCCTGCTCTAACCACTCGACCCCACTCCCCTCTCAGAGCCAGGAAGAGAACCCAGGTGTCCTGGCTTCCAACCCTCCCCCCACGCACCAGACCACACACGGGATCTGTGCTACAGGGCATGTGCTTTGAGCACTGGACAGCCCCCACTGACCATAGCGTCACTGGATCAATGGGGCCAGGACCCCAAGCTGGCCTGACCTGGGATGGCTCCATGGGCCCCCGGCCTGCGGCTGGGGATATGGTTTCACTTGTTAAGTTGGACCCAACCTTGTGGACCGCGCCCATCTGCGCCGGCCTCTGCCTGGCCCTGGGGGTCAGCGGGTGCCCCGCTTGGGGCATCAGGGCAACAGATGGGCTCCTCCCCAGCCCCAGCTGCCGTGACTCAGCTGCGGAGCCGGCCAAGAACCTGGCTCTGGGCTGGACCCTCTGGCGCCCGGGGTCCCGTGAGACACACAAAAGATGGGAGCCGACAGCTCTGAAATATCGATCCTCCGAATTCCCAGCACTGCTCCTCTTCCAGCCCAGCCCAGCCCCCTCCCGGACCCTGCCCCCTCCTCGCCCCCCAGGTCCCACCCTACCTCACCCAGGGCCATGAGCTCCCCTCTATCCATCAGCTCCTCAGCGCTCCCCAAGGGGGCCAGGACCCAGTGGCTACAGCTCCTTTGGGGCCAGTGGGGCCAGATCCCCAGCTGGGTCCATCCGCTGTAGTTCCATTGGGGGTTATGGGGCCAACCCCCAGCTGGGCCAGTGGCTGCAGCTCCATTGGATCAGTGGGGCCAGACCCCCAGCTGGGCCAGTGGCTGCAGCTCCATTGGATCAGTGGGGCCAGAGTCCCAGCTGGGCCAGTGGCCGCAGCTCCATTGGATCAGTGGGGCCAGACCCCCAGCTGGCGTGATTCAGAGTCACTCTGGAGTGACACCTCTTTAGACCAGCTGAGCCTCTGGCCCTCTATGGAGCGAATTTGCCCATCAAGACACAGGGGGCGATTCTAGGGACAGATCCTCAGCCAGTGTAAACGGGTGTCACTCCAGAGTGACACCGATGGACCCAGCTGGGACCCGGCCCCGCGCCACGGCCAGCCCCCCTCCCCCAGCCGCGATCGGACCCTTCAGCCGCTCCCCGCCCCCCGGCTTTGTTCCCCCCCGCCGCCCCCCTCAGCGCCAGCTGCTCCCATCGGGGGACGCGGGGGGGGCTCCTACCGTCTCCCTCCATCGCGGCGGGGGGCCGGCGCCGGGCGGCCGGAGCGGGGCTCGGAGCTGTCCGCCCCGCGGTGCTGAACGGCGGCTGGGTGGGGCAGGGGGTGGGGACAGGAGGGGGAGGGGCTCCTCCGTGGCAGGCAGGGAGGGGGAGGGGACTCTGCCATCCCTGGGAAGGGAGGGGCTCTTCAGTCGCAGGCTGGGAGGGGAGGGGGCTCTCTTATTGCAGGGAGAGGGGCTGGGGCTGGGGGTCTCCCATTGCAGGGAGGGGGGCTGAGGGGGATCTCCCATCGCAGTGGAGGCGGGTGAGGAAAGAGGGGGCTCTGGGTTAGGATCCCCAGGCTGGAATGGTTTATCCTGATCAGCAATTGGGGCGGCGGGGGGGGGGGGTGGGGGACCCCCCCCCCCCCGGGCCCGCCATTGGGCCCGGCCGGGGGGCGCCAGGCACACACAGCCCCCCCCCACAGGGGCCAGACCACACGCGGGCCCCCCCTCCAGCAGGGGGCGGGGCACCACCAGCGCAGGGCCCGGCCCCTCCAGCAGGGGGCGCCAGGGAACACACACAGCGCAGGGCCCGGCCCCTCCAGCAGGGGGCGCCAGGGACACACACACACACAGCGCAGGGCCCCCCCCTCCAGCAGGGGGCGCCGGGACCACACAGCGCGGCCCGCCCCCCAGCAGGGGGCCCAGGAACACACACAGCGCAGGGCCCGCCCCCTCCAGCAGGGGGCGCCAGGGACACACACACAGGCGGCCCCCCCCAGCAGGGGGCGCAGGGACACACACAGCGCAGCCCCCCCCTCCAGCAGGGGGCCCAGGGACACACACACACAGCGCAGGGCCCGGCCCCTCCAGCAGGGGGCGCAGGAACAGGAACAAAGGGGGGGGGGGAAAGCCCCCCCAGAGGGGAGAAAAAAGGGGGAAAAGGGGGCCCGGCCCCTCCAGCAGGGGGCGCCAGGGACACACACACAGCGCAGGGCCCCTCCCCTCCAGCAGGGGGCGCCAGGGACACACACAGCGCAGGGCCCGGCCCCTCCAGCAGGGGGCGCCAGGGACACACACGTGTGTGTACCTGGGTTTACCCTTCTACACTATGAGATGCCTGCAGCGGTGATGGGAGAGGACTCGCCCCTCCCCCTTCGCCCTGTGTGCGGGGGCGGAGCAGGGGCCTTGTGAAGCAAGTAAACAAACCTAGCGCATGTGGGGGCCGGGGAAGGGGCGATGCTGCCCCCTGCAGGAGAGAAGGGAAACTTTGGCCTTCGGCATTGCAAAGCCACGTGTCCCGGCTCCCAGCCCTGCCCAGCCCCCTAGACCCCACTCCCCCTGCCTGAGACGGGGAGAGAACCCAGGCGTCCTGGCTCCCAGCCCCTGCCCCCCGTCTCTAGCCACTAGATCCCACTCCCCTCCCAACACCAGGGAGAGAACCCAGGAGTCCTGGCTCCCAGCCCCCCTGCTCTAACCACTAGACCCCACTCCCCTCCCCGAGATGGGACTGGAAGAAGTCCAGATTATCTGGCGTGAGTAGCACCAGGGCAACGCCGGCGCCATGGGAACAAGATGGGGAAATCACCCAGCGTCATAGCAACTCTTGGAGTTGATACTTTGTTGCCTTGGCAACAGGAGAATTCACCCACTCTCCTCATCCATCAGAGGCCAGAAATCAACAGGGTTAGAACGGGGGGGGGGGGGCAGCAGGGGGGGACCCAGCATGGGGGTCTCTCCCCTGGCTGTCGGGCCTGACCCTGATGCCCCTGGGAGACACAGGGGGGCTATCCCAAACCTAGGCTCCCCCCAGCCCTGCCAGTGCCCCTCACTCCTGCCCCGCAGCCCCTGCTAGCCCAGCCCTGGGCTCCCCCTAGCTCTGCTGGTGCCCCTCACTCCCGACCTGCGGCACCCCCGGCTTCCCACTCTATACCATATGTCACAGCTTCACCGGCCCGGTGCTCTCGCCCTTGTCCACATGCTTGTTGACCCCTCAAAGAATTCTAGTAGATTGGTGAGGGGTGATTTCCCTTTACGAAAACCATTTTGATTCTTCCTTAACAAATTATGTTCACCCATGTGTCTGATCGTTTTGTTCTTTGCTATCATTTCGGCCAGCTTGCTCGGTACTGAGGTCAAGCTCACCGGCCTGTAATTGCCAGGATCACCTCCGGAGCCCTTTTTAAAAATTGACATCCCATTAGCTACCCTCCAGTCATCTGGTACAGACGCTGATTTAAATGACAGGTTACAGACGAGCGTTAGAAGTCCTGCAATTCCACCTTTGAGTTCCTGCAGGACTCTGGGGTGAATCCCATCTGGTCCTGGTAACTTATTGCTGTTTAAGATATCAATTTTTTCCAAAACCTCCTCTAATGACACCTCAATCTGGGGCAGTTCCTCAGATTTGTCACCTAAAAAGAATGGCTCGGGTTTGGGAATCTCCCTCCCATCCTCAGCCGTGAAGGATGCAAAGAATTCATTTAGTTTCTCCACAATGGCCTTATCGTCCTTGAGTGCTCCCTTAGCATCTTGATCGTCCAGTGGCTCCACTGGTTGTTTAGCAGCTTCCTGCTCTGACTTTCTGAGTCTTTGGCTAGCTGTTCTTCACATTCTTTTTGGCCTTCCTAATTATATTTTTACACTTCATTTGCCAGAGTTTACGCTCCTTTCTATTTTCCTCACTAGGATTTAACTTCCACTTTTTAAAGGATGCCTTTTTGCCTCTCACAGCTTCTCTTACTTTGTTGTTTAGCCCAGTGGCACTTTAGCAATCCAGTGTCTGTGATTGTGATTAACGAGAGGTGGTTAATTAGCACCTCTTGCAAAAGATTAATATATTTCCATTACTAACATTTAACCATTAATTATGGACATGTGAGTAATTAACAGTTAGGTGAAACCAGTGATCCTTAGCAGTTCACTGTTAATTACGTTCATAGAACTAAGCAATTAGCAATGATTCAAAATCAGCTATGGCTAATAACCAAAAATTATTGATAACAGCAGATTAGGGCCAGATCAGGGCTGGCGCCCCCTAGAGGGGAAAGGCCTCACACCCCATTCCCCACCCTCCTGAGCCAGCCAGTCCCTGCCCTGGGGCCGGATGGGAGCCGGCGCCCCCTAGAGGGGAAAGGTCTCATGTCCCCTTACCTGCCCCCCTAAGCCAGCCAGTCCCTGCCCTGGGGCCAGACGGGAGCCAGCGCCCCCTAGAGGGGAAAGGTGATTGTGATGAAGTGGGACTGCTCTTAATGTTTCCTCTGAATAGTGTGGGGGTGCCTCAGTTTCCCCTAGGCAGTTCTTAAGTATCTAGGGGGTGGAGTAAGGGTGTATGATCATTGCAGAGCCCTAGAGGGCAGGTGTGTGCAGGGGGCTGGACACAGAGAATGGCCGACACCCTGTTTCCTGGCAACTGATGGCCTGGGCCCTTCCCCCTGCAAGGTGAGAGCTAAAGGGTTGGAGAACAAAGGAATCAGGTGACCACCTGGCCCGGGAAAGGGACAAAGCCCAGAGGAGGAGGGGCTGGAGGGAGTTTTCAGTTTGGGGCTGGCTGGGACATGGAGTGAAGTGCAGACGTGGTTGTCTGGCTCACTGCCCCCAAAATGGACCCAGCTGAGGGGTCCCGTTCTCTGCACCTGCAAGCTCTGTGTTAGACCACGTTCCTGTCGTCTAATAAACCTTCTGTTTTACTGGCTGGCTGAGAGTCACGTCTGACTGCGAAGTTGGGGGGCAGGACCCTCTGGCTTCCCCAGGAGCCCGCCTGAGCGGACTCGCTGGGGGAAGCGCACGGAGGGGCAGAGGATGCTGAATGCTCCGAGGTCAGACCCAGGAAGGTGGAGGCGGGTGAGCTGTGTGTCCTGCAGACAGGCTGCTCACAGAAAGGCGACTGCCCCAGAGTCCTGCCTGGCTTCATGGGGAGCAGTTCCAGAGCATCGCCCAGGGACTCCGTGACAGGGATACAATGTAATTCTGTCCCGCTGAGAGCCCCATGGTGGAGACAGGGCCACTGGAGACGCCGGCAGGGTCTCTCCCTGCACTCGCCTGCCCCTGGGGAGGGGGGCCCAGACGCGGATGCTGTAGCTATAGTTGTGGGCCCAGGACACAGAAGGTTTCACCCAGCCAGGGTCAGGGAGCTGTTCGAATGAGCCTTGAGGGTGAGGATCAGCACTGGGGCAGGCACTGGCAGGGGACGGACAGAGAGAGCATGAGACCCCAGAGCCGGGGGGGGGGGGAACCCAGGTGTCCTGGCTCCCAGCCCCCCCCAACCACTAGAGCCCTCTCCCCTCCCAGAGCTGGGGGAGAACCTAAGAGTCCTGGCTTCCAACCCCCCTGCTCTAACCACTAGACTCCACTGCCCTCCCAGAGCTGAGGGAGAACCCACGAGTCCTGGCTCCCAGACCCACCACTCTGTCCCCCTAGAGTCCCCCCGGGTGGATGTGTTGTTCCTTGACTTTAGCAAAGCTTTTGACACGGTCTCCCACAGTATTCTTGCCAGCAAGTTAAAGAAGTACAGGCTGGATAAATGGACTATAAGGTGGATAGAAAGCCGGCTAGATTGTCGGGCTCAACGGGTAGTGATCAATGGCTCCATGTCTAGTTGGCAGCCGGTGTCAAGTGGAGTGCCCCAGGGGTCGGTCCTGGGGCCGGTTTTGTTCAGTATCTTCATAAATGATCTGGAGGATGGTGTGGATTGCACGCTCAGCAAGTTTGCAGACGACACTAAACTGGGAGGAGTGATAGATACGCTGGAGGGCAGGGATAGGATACAGAGGATACAGACAAATTGGAGGATTGGGCCAAAAGAAATCTGATGAGGTTCAACAAGGACAAGTGCAGAGTCCTGCACTTAGGACGGAAGAACCCAATGCACAGCAGTGGGGGAGATTTAGGTTGGATATTAGGAAAAACTTTTTCACTAGGAGGGTGGTGAAACACGGGAATGCATTACCTAGGGAGGTGGTGGAATCTCCTTCCTTAGAAGTTTTTAAGGTCAGGCTTGACAAAGCCCTGGCTGGGATGATTTAATTGGGTATTGGTCCTGCTTTTGAGCAGGGGGTTGGACTAGATGACCTCCTGAGGTCCCTTCCAACCCTGATATTCTATGAACGCTATCTGTTACAGGTTGGTGCTGGCATCAGGAGAAATCAATTTACATTTTCATACTCAAAGCTGCTGCCAAATATTTCCATAACAGCAGCATCCAGAGACCTTGACTGGGAGGGGCCCCTCTCCCCCACCAGCAGGCCAGGCAGGGCACCTCACCCCACAATCCTCAAGTGAGATCAGGGCCCCCCTCATGCTGGGCATGGCGGGCTCCCTCCCGCCCTGAATCAAGATGGGGGCCTTACTTCTAGCCTGGGGAACGTGGGGTGGTTACATGGGGACCCCTTCCCTGGTGCTGGGATGCAGCTGTCTCTAGGGTTGGGCGTGGGGACTTAGCCAGCTCCGTGGAACAGCTGGATGTGGGTCTGGCCCTTGGTTTTCAGTGTTTCTTTTGTTTCATTTCCCCTGGGAATTGATCAGGGTTGTTTATCACCACCACACCCAAACCAGGAGAAAATCAATGCAAACAAAAAGATGAATAATTTTCCTGGGGTTGATTTTGCTGGAGGGAAAGACGGGGCGGAGGAAGCAACCAGCCAATTAAAGCTTCAACTTCGGCTTCTCAATGCGGTTTGCTGCTGACCTAAACCAGAACTCACAACCCAAGCTCTCCTCGCTTGCTCTCTGCTCCCCGAAGAAAACGTTTCATTTGAATCGAGAGTTAGAGCTGGGCGCTTATAACGATTCACGCTTAATCCCACCTCGGGTGCAGCGCCGACATTCAGCGTCGGCCTCCTCTCCTGGCTTGGCATTGTCGAAACTTTCCAAGCCTTCCTTGGGTTCTGAGAGCGAGTTTCAGTTGTGAGCCCGTCAGATCTCGAAAGCGCGCGCTGCGAACAGCGTGAACGGTGTGCGTGGCGGGCGGGCGATTCATCGGTGCGTTCATCAGGAATCCATCAGGCAACCAGGACTCCTGGGTTCTATCCCCGGCTCTGGGAGGGGAGGGGAGCCTAATGGCTCAGAGCAGGGTGGGGGAAGGGAAATGGGTCCCAGGACACCAAGGGTCTACCTCCTGCTTGGCCCCACTTCGTGCCTCAGTTCCCCCCTCCTTACATCAGCCACAAATTTCGCGGGGTAGCGGGCATCCGTCTCCAGGATGTCCATGGTGCGGGGCCGGGGCTCCGGGACGCACCCTGGCTGCTGTGCCCAATTCCAGGCACCCTCAAGGAGTCGCCGACGCCTGCTGCAATCGGTCTCATTAGCCGTATCCCTACCGCCGCCGTGAGCCAGACACTGTCGAAAAGGAGAGGGAAAAGCCGCCCTAACACCCCTCCGCCAGAGACCAGATGGGATATCGATCGGTCCGACACGCGCACGGTGCATCCTGCCATATAAGACCCGAACCCGCCGTTCAGCCACTGGGACCCGCGACGGTTCCCCGGCTCCGCTCCGGGCCACGAAAGCAAAACGGGGCCTTTTGCCGGCTGCATCTTCGTGTCGGCCGACAAGTTGGTTCTGACCTCTGCCCAAGGAGCCAGCAGCCGGGCCTCACCGTCACCGAAACCCCACTGAGATCTGGTGCCGCGCTCCTCACCGCAGAGATCTCCGTGCCGAGCAGAGAAAAGGGCCCCCGGCTCAGTGAGGCGAGTCCTGTAAGAACCCCACCGAGGCGGCGGGTAGTTCGGACCCTCTTTAAGGCACATCACTGAGGGGGGAGGGAAAGGGAGGGAAGAAGGTGGGATAAAGGGGAGATACGGACTCGACTGAGCTAAACCTCCAGCAGCCCCCCCCCCCCCCCCAAAAAAGACCTTTAAATAAGCTCCAAATCTGACACAAGCCCCCCCCACACACACACACACCAGAGGCGAGGGTGCAGCACAGAGTCATTCCTGAGCTTTGGGATGGGGCGGGGGGGGGGCATTGTGGTCCCCAAGTTTCTCCTGGGGAATGAGTGGGAGAGGAACAGGTGCTAGGTCCTGAGGGGGTGTGGGGGGGTGCATGGGCAGGCCCGGGAAAGGTGGGGGGGTGAGGCTCAGAGCCAATGCAGCCCCATGGTGGGAGCGAGACACATGGGGGTTTTGGAGGGTTACCAACTTTCTAATGGCACAAACCTGAACACCCTTGGCCCACCCCTTCTCTACACCTCCGCCCCACTCACTCCATCCTGCCTCCCCCTGACATTCGCTCTCCCCCTCCTCGCTCACCGTCACTGGGCTGGGGCAGGGATGCGGGAGGGGGTGAGGGCTCCAGTTGGGGGTGTGAGCTCCAGGGAGGGGCCAGAAATGAGGGGCTCAGGGTATGGGAGGGGGCCCTGGGGTAGGGCAGGGGGTTGCGATGCAGGTGGGCGCGTGGGGTGTGGGCTCTGGGAGGGTGTTTGGGTGCGGCGGGGGGTTCGGGCTCTCGGCAGGCAGCGCTTACCTCAGGCGGCTCCTGGTCGGCGGCACGGCAGGGCTAAGGCAGGCTCCCTACCTGCCCTGGCTCCACACGGCTCCCACAAGCAGCCGGCATGTCCAGCCCCTAGGGACCCCTAATCACGCCCCCTTCAGGCCTCAAACCCGTCACCCCCAGAGCACCATCTCCCTGAGTCGCCAGGCTGCTGCATCCGGCCACTAGAGGGCGCCATGAGACAGGCTTTGCCAGAGGCTTCAACCACTGTTCATGAGAGGGCTGGGAGCCAGGACGCCTGGGTTCTCTCCTTGGCTCTGGGAGGGGAGTGGGGTCAAGTGGTTAGAGCAGTTGGGGGGGGGGGGGGGGGCTGGGAGTCAGGACGCCGGGGTTCTCTCCTGGCTCTGGGTCTTAGGATCCGTAGAGGGAGGTCATAGGTCACAGGACTCAACATCCCCATCAACAGCTGGAGACAAGTTGGGCCAATAGAAGCTCCCCTGGCCCGTGTCTCTCTGCTGTCCCAGCCGCCTCCCACCCAGCCCACATCAGACAACACATGTCATCAAATCAGCTGTAATTGGGCCTGCTGGCCAATGAGCAGGGTCAAAGGTCAAGGCAATTACTTCCAGGTTATTGGTTGGGCAGGTTGGTGCTCCTAGGCCACCGGGTCGTAGGTCAAGGAACCAACTCCCAGGGCGGTTGGTTCTCGTTGGCCCCAGGGTCACCAGCAGGTTGGCGCGGATGGGGTCAGAGGTCGTTGGGGTCACCAGCAGGTTGGCACGGATGGGGTCAGAGGTCACGGACGCCCCCGGCGGGTTGGCGCGGATGGGGTCAGAGGTCGCGGGCGCCCGGCTCAGCTCTCCTTCCAGCGGGGGCTGGCGCGGGGGGCCCCGGCTGCGATCAGCCCCTGGGCCGCGTAGTAGGTGCCCATGACGACGAGCCGGGCCCAGGGCACCGGGGCGCAGAAGTGGTCCCTGGCCAGGACCAGGTCAGAGGCCATGAAGAGCAGGGAGCCGGTGGCCATGGCCAGGCGGGGGGGAGACTGGGCCAGGGCCCGCCAGCCCATGGCCGCCAGCAGCGCCCCGTAGCCCCCCACGGCCGGCACGTAGGGGCCCCCCAGGCAGGGCCACAGCATCGTGTAGGCCCCCGCCCAGGCCAGTGCCAGTAGCAGCAGGAGCCAGGGGCGGGCAGGACGCAGGCCCAGGGCCCAGATGTAGCAGATGTGAGCCAGAGCGAAGGCCACCATGCCTGGGGGGGTAGAGGGGGCGTCAGATTGCAGTGCCCCTCGCTCCCGACGCGCAGCCCCTGCTAGCCCAGCCCTGGGCTCCCCCAGCCCTGCCGGTGCCCCTCACTCCCGACACGCAGCCCCCTGCTAGCCCAGCCCTGGGTTCTCTCCCCCCAGCCCTGCCGGTGCCCCTCGCTCCCGACCCGCAGCCCCCTGCTAGCCCAGCCCTGGGTTCTCTCCCCCCAGCCCTGCCGGTGCCCCCCACTCCCAACCCGCAGCCCCCTGCTAGCCCAGCCCTGGGTTCTCTCCCCGCAGCCCTGCCGGTGCCCCCCACTCCCGACCCGCAGCCCTCTGCTAGCCCAGCCCTGGGTTCTCTCCCCCCAGCCCTGCCGGTGCCCCCCACTCCCGACGCGCAGCCCCCTGCTAGCTAGGCCCTGGGTTCTCTCCCCCGCTGGTGCCCCTGACTCCGTACCTAGGAGGAATAGCTGCGGCCAGACCAGGCAGGCGTCTCCCACGCCGGAGAACATCAGCCCCCAGCGGACCCGGCGCGCCGAGGGGGTCCAGGCGCCATCGCCCCAGGCCTGGGCCGTCAGGAAGAAGACCAAGCTCAGAAGCGGGAGGCTCTTGACGCCCGTGCTGACCCAGCTGGGCTCAGGCAGCCACAGGGCGAAGTACAGGCCGCAGGAGGCCAGGAACGGCAGCAGCTTGAGGCGGCGGCTCGTGGCCTGCAGAGGAAGGTGGAAATTGACACAGCCAGGGCCCATTTACACTGGGGAGAGTACGACGCACCCGGCATGGAGACTACCCCTCGGTCCGAGCAGGGAACAATCATCACACGTTAACTCTTAAACCTACTGATGACCTACTCTGTAATTTACAGAGCGGGCCTGTTAACTGTCATCATGTTAACTGTGACACCTATCATTACATCAGTCTATAGTAATGTACAGTCTGGCTATTTCACCGTGTTCACTCTGAAACTTACTGACACAAGGGTCGGGAAACGGGGTGTAATTAGGTTTCAGCGTTAACAGAGGAAATAAGACATCTCAATTCTTATACAGTGGGTTTTGGCCGTTGTTTTGCTATGTCAACTCCAACACCTAATGATAAGCGGTTGTAACCAAGAATCCTGTTGGTTATTTCACGGTGTTAACACTGAACACCACTGACAGCCCACTGAATATCATCAGTGCGCTCACTGGCTCACCTAATGATAACCCAGAGTACAGTGACTCCTCCCTGAACATCCTTCCGGTTCACGTCGTCACGTGGCTGATCGATTAGGGAACAAGCTCGTTTAAAGTTGTGCAATGCTGCCTTATAAGGTCGATTGGCAGCTGCCTGCTTTGTCCACAGGATTCTCTGGGAGAGCAGCCCCTCCTGGTGGGGCTTAGAACCAGGGCCCCCCCCCGTCAGCTCCCCATAATTCCCAAATAAGGGATGCGGCTTGGCAGCTGCCCCTGACCTCTGCCTTGGGGCTGCTCCCAGGAGCCTCCCGCTTGCTGTGCAGGGGGCGGAGAGGGGTGCTGATGGCAGGATGTCCCCCAGCTCTGTACCCCCCCTCCACAAAGCGGAGGAGGGGGCAGGGCTCGGGGACAGAAGGGGCGGAGCTTGCTGGAAGCTGTTGCTTCCTGCCTGATCTGCTTAAAAGGGCAACATACTTGAAGTGGGGTGAGCGTACTTAAAGGGGCGACGCACATCTCTCTCTCTCTCTCTCACCCCACAGCACTTTGGAAAGTCAGCCCCTGCGTGGCCGGGCACGTGCTGTCAGGGCAGGAGGAGGGAGTCGGGCGCTTCAGCGGGGGCCCATCATCCGCTTCCGTTTTTGCAGGGAAGGGTTTGCGGCCGCTGGCCCCCTGCATCTGTTGTGTTTCCTCCCTCCTGCCTCAGGCCCTGGCTGCCTCGTAGAGTGAGAGGCTACATCGGGGGTGGGGGCAAACTATGGCCCGGGGCCACATCCGGCCCTCCAGACATTTTAATCCGGCCCTGGAGCTCCAGCTAGGAAGCAAGCGGCTCCTGGAAGCAGCAGCATGTCCCCCGTTTGGCTCCTACACGGAGGGGCAGCCAGAGGGCTCCGCACGCTGCCCCTGCCGCGAGTGCCACCCCACAGCTCCCATTGGACAGGAACCGCGGCCAATGGGAGCTGCAGGGGCGGTGCCTGCAGATGTGGCAGCGCGCAGCAGAGCTGCCTGGCTGTGCCTCTGTGTAGGAGCCAGAGAGGGGACGTGTTGCTGCGTCTAGGAGCTGCTTGAGGTAAGCGCCGCCCGAAGCCTGCCCCCTGCCCCCCAACCCCCTGCCCCAGCCTAGATCCCCCTCCCGCCCTCTGAACCTCTCGATCCCAGCCCACAGCACCCCCCTGCACCCCTAACCCCTCCTCCCCAGCCCCATCCCAGGGCCTGCACCCCAACCCCCAATTTTGCGAGCATTCATAGCCCACCCTGTAATTTCCATACCCAGATGTGGCCCTCGGGCCAAAAAGTTTGCCCACCCCAGGGCTACTTTAACAACTGCGTGTTAACCCTTGAGGGCTCCAGCCGAATGCGAGCTCATCGTTTAGCAGCAAGATTTGCCTGGGAAACATCCCACCCGCGGTCTCCCCAGCCTCACCCAAGTGTCACACTCACCCATTGCTGGGTACACTAGTCAATTGTTTAAAACGTACCCTGCATCTGTCTATCATGTCTTTTGTCTGGCAAAAAACATTCCCGGGGCTCTAGATCCTCCCCCCCCGCCCTTTACATTAATTCTTCTGGGGAAATTGGATTCGCGAAACATTGTTGCACACAAAGTCGCGTTTTTCAGGAACGTAACCACCACATGAAGCGAGGAGTTACTGCCTATGGCCTTCTAATTATTTGACCAAGCAGAGACCTACCAGGAGCACTCAGCGATAGCTACTTGTCTCAGGCTGAACTGCAGCTCACTGGAATTGGGAACTTAACTCCCTGTTTACGACTCTTACTCTGGAACCTACTGATAACCCAGATGAGACTAGCCTCATTAACTATTTCACCACCAAGATATCCCAGCTAAATCTACTCAGCTCACCTCCCGGCACCTCATCCCACTGGGGCTGGGAAGTGACCCCCCTGCCCCATTCATCTCAATGAAGTGTTAACTCTGAAACCTACTGCTGTCACGTAACACATCGTCCTTGGTAGTTCAGCTGCCAGAGCAATCACAGCAACATCCTGCTATGCCTGCTCTATCCCCGACCCCGTTCCTGATCCAGCCCCTGTTCCCTGCCACTGTGTGTTAACTCTGAATGCTACTGACTGCATCACTTCAACCACAACTTTCCAGTTTCATATCCGAGGTATTTTTTCCCCAGAATTTCCAGTTGAACCCAGGCACCATGCCAACCCTAAAACATCCACCCAACCAAAGTAAAAACTGGGCCCATGCCCACTTACCCTAGCAGGCGTTCACTCTAAAACCTACCGATGGCACAATTTAACAACGATTTCACCGTTTTAGCAGGAAGAGCCAGTTAATGCTGCTTCTTCAAAGGGTGAAGTTCTGTTCCTATTGATGCTAAAGTAGCAGCTTCAACTTTGACTTTGAAACCTACTGATTGTTAACTATTTAATCACCAGGAGATTGGGCAGGAAGAGGCAGCTAACTTTGCTCCTAATTGTCCCAATTTGGCCATGAGCTTGCCCCATTCACACCACCACTGCGATCAGGGCTACCCACACTGATCCTGCTACCAGCCCCACTTCCCTTCCCCTCTGGGCCCAGCAGTGCCCCCAGCTCAGGCGGGCTACGGGAAACAGTGCAGAATTGAAGTGGAAATGGCTGCAGGGAAATCCTGCCTCGATGGATCGGCTTTACCGGCTCACAGTCCCAGAAGCCGTAACAGCAACACAATGGCACACAGAGGACACTGGGGTTGAGTGGGGGAGAGCAGGGGTGGGGTGGGGCTCGGAGCCAGGATGCCTGGGTTCTCTTCCCAGCTCGGGGAGAGGAGTGGGGCCTAGTGGCTTAGAGCAGGGCGGGGGAAGGGAACTGGGAGCCAGGCCACAGAGTCTCTGCCCCGCCCCCGCCCGGTCCCCTCTTCGTGCCTCAGTTTCCCCCTCCTTACATCAGCCGCGATGTTCCGGTGGTAGCGGGCGTCCGTCTCCAGAATGTCCATGGTGCGGGGCCAGGGCTCCGGGACGCACCCTGGCTGCTGCTCCCAACTCCAGGCACCCGCCTGGACTTTCATCTCCCGTGGGTTCAACAGAGCCAGAGATAAGATGGGGGGGGCGGGAAGAGAAAAATCGATTCCTCCCGCCTCATCCCCACCCAGCACCAGCTGATAACAGGGAGGCAGCTGCTGGAGGAGTGGGGCTCAGGGGGGCTGGGAGCCTGGGCTCTCGGATGTGACCCCTGGTGCTGGGCCCCCACACAGTGCCCTGCTTACCCCCAGCCCCCCGCCAGGAAGGAGGCTGCGGCACGCTCAGGCTTTAACCATTGTTTTTTTATTTTCATCCGGAATAACAAAAGAGACGAGCCGGGGACCCACGACACAGGGGGGATGGTCGCCGGCCGGGGCGGCCCCGGGGCAACCCCCAAAAGGCCACTTGATTTGGTTCCTGTTTAAGAGCTTTTAAATATTGCCACTAAAGTGGTAGCCGGGGGGGGGGGGGGGGGAGGAATGGCTACCAGGACATCACTGTTGGCTACTGCTGACTTGTGGGGGGGAATTCAGTGCTTTTGAAAAGGAGAAAGGTGCATCGTGGGGCCATCTAGCCTGGCATCTGGCCCCATCTCCCCCCAGCCAGGGGCCATTCGGGGGAGGGGTTGTTTTAAAGTCTCTTTTGCAAGGGGAGGGGATCAGACCCCACACCCCCTTCCAGCCTCACCCCTCCCCAAGCACCTGGGATCCCCCCCAAAACTAGTGCAATGCAGAACCTCTCTGGAGAGGCTGGGAAGATCAGTGTGGAGGGAGGATGGGGGGCAGCTGATTGGTGGGGGACCCCTAGCCCCCTATGCCCTACAGTCTGAGCCCCTAACGCTCCAAACCGCTATGGGGACAGGGAACTTCCTAGGTCTGCATAAACCTTCCTCCACTCCTGAAGGGCCCCGAATCCCTTGGGGTGCAGAGGGAAAGAGGACCCCCCCCCCCGTACCATACCACCCTCCCACCCCCCACACCAGATCTGCTACAGGGTGGGTTTTGGGGAGGCTGAGGGACCTGAGGCCCCTGCCAAGAGGGAGGGAGCTGCCCCTCTGTAAGCAGATACCCCCGCCCCCCAGGACTGAGCATCCCTCCGATTGTGGGGAAGGGGGGGACAAAGGGTTGACCCCCTCACAGGGGCAAAGGGAGGAGAAACCACCATCAGAGTGGGGGTTGGGCTGGGGCCCAGCTCCTCCTCCTAGACCTACGACAAGGAGGCGGCGGGGGGGGGGGGGGGGGGGAAGACACAGCTGCAGATCCAGGCACCATTGTGGCCCCCGTGGAGGTGGGGGGCAGGTGGCCCTGCTCCCCTGCAGATGGGCTGCAGTCTGAGCCGGTGCTGGTGTGAGCAGTGGGATCCAGGAGGGGAGGCCACTGTGTCGGGGGGGGGGGGGGGAGAGAACAGGTGCATTGTGGGCTGTTCGGAACCCCTCACCCACTTGAAAAGTATCCTGGGGGGGGAACTACCTGTTCCTTCCTCCACCTCTGACTGTCTGGTGCTGTTCCCTGGGGCGTGACCCATCTCTGCCCCCCAACACCTCTGCTCCAGGGAGACGGGGCAGCTCCAGCCCCCCAGGCCAGGGAAATAAATAACAAGGGGAGCGGAAAACACGAGGTTAAAAGGATCGTAGAACCAGCTGGGGGGGAGAGGGGGGGCGGACACAGACCTGTCCCACAGCCCTGAGGTCCAGCCCCGCCTTGTAGTGCCCCTCCCCCAGCAGCCTCTAACCCCCCCCGGCCCCACCTACCTATGCCCAACCCCACCCCCAACACTCCCTGACCACACCCCCAACAGCTCCTAGTCCCACCCACCCATGTCTACCCTCCGCCCCCTGCCCTCCCCACTCCCTCCAGCATTTCTTCCCCCCCACCCCAGCTGAGCTGGGCTCTGGGGGGCAGAACCCCGCTCCTGGCTGAGGCCCTGGACCAGACACAGAAAGGGGGGGCAGGGGTTGGGTTGGGGTTGTGCTTATGCTGGAAGTGGGGATGGGGGTTAAAATCTAATCTGTGTGGGGAAGGGCCCCTGTTCCCATGCCTGGCCCCCCAGGGGAGCAGAAGGGGAAGACAAGGGCAGGCTGTGGAGGGGCTAACCTGTGGGGGAGGGGGAGCCGGGAAGCAGAGGGGCAGCCCCCCCGGAGCAGAATGGGGGGGCTAACTGAGGGGGGCCGGAAGCCCAGTGGGGGGCTGGCATGAGAAGTGGGGGCCAGTGCGGGGCAGGGTTAGTGCTTTCCAGAGTCACTTCTCCGAACGATTCGCTTTTAATTCTGTCGCCCTGCTGCAGATTTCAGTGCAAAAATGGGGGGGGGACCGTCCCGGGGGCTCACAGCAGCCTCCCTGGGGGAGGGGGGCTCAGCCATCTCGCCATGAGCATCCTGTGATGGGGGGACTGTGCCGCCCCGTCCTATGCTGCCCCCCCCATGGGAAAGGGCTCTCCTTGGGCGGGCCGGGCTCCAGGAGGGGGGGCTCCCTCCAGCCCCCCCAATCAGCAGCTTCCCCAGGCGCCCTCCGTGAGCTTTATCTGGGGAGGAGAGAGAGATGGACAAGGGGGGGGGTCATCACTCAGTCCCATTGCCCCCCAATTCCCAAATCGGAGACCCCCCCCGCAACCCAGGGCCCACCTCCCCAGCCGGGGGGGTGGGTTGAGCTAGGCCAAGTTAACACCCCGCCATGCACAGGATTTGATGAGGTCACAGGCTGAGCCCTCCCCCCAGATCCTGAGGGGGATCCCCCCAACTGAGGCCCTCCCTCCAAACAGCCCCCCACTGAGCTGACCCTCCAACCTGGCTGAGCGCTCCTTGGGGGGGGAGGGGGGTCAGGGCTCACCTGGCTGCCGGCTGCTGCTGCCTCTGGGGGGAGCCGTTCTCTGCCTTCGGGGCGTCTGCAGCCCCCGGAAGCCGCTGGTTGACATCAGAGGTAGATAGGGGGGCCCCTTCCGTGCTGGGTGGGGGCGGGGAGAAGACAGCTGGTTGAGGGGTGGGACCAGGGCTGGCTCCTCCCCACCACACAAACCCCACGCCCAAGTGACCTCCCTCCCAGGGCAGTTACCTGGGTGAGGGGCAGGGCCAAGGCTGGCTCCTCCCCCGCCCCACAAGCTCCACCCCCAGCCCAGGGTTCAGCCCTGTCCGAGGGAGCCCTTCCCCCCCACCCACAGGTGCTGGTACCCCGCGCTGGCCCCTCCCTCTTGCTCCCGGCCTTACTTTGGCCTGGCTGCGGCGGGGCCGGGCGGGCGAGCCGATTGGCCATTCAGCGCCGGCTCGCTGCTCTCGCAGGGCGATCCCGCTCGGGGGGGCTCCGGGGGGGCTGCTGGAGAGTGGGGGTGTTAGGGGACCACCAACGCGGACGTTCTTTCCCGCCCATCGCCCCCACAGGTCAACCCCATAGGCCCAACCCCCGCCCTGATCCACAGGCCCAGCCACCCCCCTCCCTCCCCCAGCTCAGACCCATGGGCCCAGCAACCCTCCCCACACTTAGCTCGGACCCACGGACCCAACCATCCGCCCCCCACAGCCCAGATCCCCTCCCCACAATCCAGGTCAAATCCATGGGCCCAGCAACCCTCCCCCTGCTTAGCTCAGCCCCTTGGGCCCAACCACCCCCCGCCCAGCCCCAGCCCAGACCTACGGGGCCAAGATCCATCCCCCTGCCCGCCCCAGAGGAAGACCTGGGGGTCAGTGCTGGGGGGGGGGGGGCAGGTTGCCACAGTGACACTCACCTCCCACCGAAGATACATTGCTACGTGTCGGTTCCTGAGGGTGGGGTCCCTGGGCAGAGCCTGACGGGGCCTCTGACAGGCTGCGGAAATACGCCCCCAACTGGGTCAGACCCACGGGCCCATCGACCCCGGCCTCCCGCCCCCTCCCCGGCCCAGACCCACAGGCCCATCGACCCCGACCTTCCCACACGGGCCCGTTGACCCCGGCCTCCTGCCCCCTCCCCAGCCCAGAGCCACGGGCCCACCGACCCTGGCATCCCGTCTTCCACAGCAGCTCGTGCCAGCCCGGCCCCGAGAGGCCAATGAAGATAAGCCCGCCCTGCAGGGGGTGGAGGGAGTTGGGTCCCACCTGGTTTGCACTGAGGGGGTGTCTGTAAACAGGGCCCAGCTCCCTTCCGTGGGGGGGCGGGAGGCGTCCAAGCCGGGCCTGTCCCACGCGGCCACTCCGGTGTCCACCCCGGCGCTGTCGGGGGGCAGAGCGGGGGGCTCTGCAGGCAGTGGGTCAGGGCTGGCACCTGAGAAGGGAGAGAAGAGGGCGGGGTCAGGGCCGGGCAGCGGCCTGTTGCTCCCATTCCCTGGTGCCAGCGGGCGACACCCGGGCACTCACCAGGTGCCGTGGCTCAGGCTGGCCACCACCAGACAGCTGGGAAGTGAGGCCTTGATTTGCATATTTAATGAATATGCACCATCGAGTTTACATACATTACCTAGACCCCACAGACACCCCCAGGGCCAGCCTCTGCCCCCATCCTCTGGCTCCGGGGGTCCCCCCGTCCTGTTGGATTCACCCCGTTCTCCACTGGGGTCTTACCCTCAGCCTCGCCGCCGCCACCTCCACCCTCCACGCCCCCGCCAGCGTCTTCCTCCTCGCCCTCCTCCTCCGAGTCCCGGCTCCCCTCGCTGTCTGTGCTGCCGCAGCTCCTGGTGCGGGGAGAGAATGGGCCCGGATCAGCCCCCCAGGCCCCTCTGCCCCGGTATCCCGCCTCCTCCCTGCCCCCGGATCAGCCCCCCGGGCCCCTCTGCCCCGGTATCCCGCCTCCTCTGCCCCCCGGGCCCCTCTGCCCCGGTATCCCGCCTCCTCTGCCCCCCGGATCGGCCCCTCTGCCCCGGTATCCCGCCTCCTCCCTGCCCCCGGATCAGCCCCCTGGGCCCCTCTGCCCCGGTATCCCGCCTCCTCTGCCCCCCGGATCAGCCCCTCGGGCCCCTCTGCCCCGGTATCCCGCCTCCTCTGCCCCCCGGATCAGCCCCATGGGCCCCTCTGCCCCGGTATCCCGCCTCCTCTGCCCCCCGGATCAGCCCCTCGGGCCCCTCTGCCCCGGTATCCCGCCTCCTCTGCCCCCCGGATCAGCCCCTCGGGCCCCTCTGCCCCGGTATCCCGCCTCCTCTGCCCCCCCGGATCAGCCCCTCGGGCCCCTCTGCCCCGGTATCCCGCCTCCTCTGCCCCCCGGATCAGCCCCATGGGTCCCTCTGCCCCGGTATCCCGCCTCCTCTGCCCCCCGGATCAGCCCCATGGGCCCCTCTGCCCCGGTATCCCGCCTCCTCTGCCCCCCCGGATCAGCCCCTCGGGCCCCTCTGCCCCGGTATCCCGCCTCCTCTGCCCCCCGGATCAGCCCCTCGGGCCCCTCTGCCCCGGTATCCCGCCTCCTCTGCCCCCCCGGATCAGCCCCTCGGGCCCCTCTGCCCCGGTATCCCGCCTCCTCTGCCCCCCGGATCAGCCCCATGGGTCCCTCTGCCCCGGTATTCCATCCCCCGGGATCAGATCCACAGGCTCATCTGCCCCGGTATCCCGTCCCCTCCCCACCTCCTGGATCACACCCACAGGCCCATCTATCCCCTATTCCACCCCCCAGATCAGAGCCACAGGCCCATCTACCCTGGTATGCCGTCCTCTCCCTGCCCCCGGACCAGATCCATGAGCTCATCCATGGTATTTATGCCAGAGCCTGGGAGAGAACCCAGGAGTCCTGGCTCCCAGCCCCCACCCCGCTCCAACCACTAGCCCCCACTCCACTCCGAACCAGGGAGAGAACCCAGGCATCCTGACTGCCCACAAGAACAGGAGGCCCTGTGCCCGCCCCCTGGAGTCGCTCGGGGCCAGTACCTAGGCCCTGCGGGCTGCGCCCCCCCCCCGGAGTAGCCCAGGTCCTTCTCCTGCCAGGCGTCCTCCCCGTCCGAGTCATCGTCGTCGAACTGCTGGATCCGCTCCTTGTAGCAGACTTCGAACAGGTTGGAGTTGGGCTGGGGGGAGGGGGCAGAGAGTCAGGGCGCCGGCTGGGGGGGGGACAGACGAGTTGGGGGACAAGGGGGTGGCCGGAGGGGGGTCGGGCAAGAGGTAGGCCAGGGAACATTCATGCTCTTGTCACCGGTGCTCAGCGAGATGATGCCAGCTGGGAACGGGGGGGGGGTGGGGGTGGCAGTGCAGGAGTGAGGGAAGGGCATGGGGCACAGCAGGGATGTGGGGGGTGATGGGGGGCTGGGAAAGGTGGTGAGGGGGGCAGGGCACTCACACTGTCGTCATCGGCACTCAGGGAGAAGCTCAGGCTGCCCGTCCTGTCGAAGGGGGCGCTGGAACGGAGAACACAGCGTGACAGGGGGCTGAGCCAGCATCAAACGGGGGGCGCTGCTGGCCACCCCCCACCACATGCATTGGGAAGAGACCAGCAGCTGAGCCCCCCTGCTCTGACTACTAGATCCCCCCCTCCCCTCCCAGAGCTGGGAGAAAACCCAGGAGTCCTGGCTCCCAGCCCCCCTGCTCTAACCACTAGACCCCACTCCCCTCTCAAAAGTGGGGACAGAACCCAAGAATCCTGGCACCCAGCCCCCTCCCTGCTTTCACTACTGGACCCCACTCCCTTTCCAGAGCCGGGAGAGAACCCAGGAGTCCTGCTTTGGGCAGGCCTCCCCGACTAGGATAACGCCCCCACCCCAGTGGCCCGTGCTGCCAGACCTCGATCCCCCCCCAGGGGGCACTGTGCTAGGAGAGGGGGTGCCACCTGGGGGGGGGGGGGGAGGGCGGGAGAGCAGTTGGGACCCCAAGGGCTGCTGGGACAGTTAACCCCGCAGAGCCTGGAGCTGTGCCCAGCTGAGTCCCCAACTGCGCGATTTCCTGAAAGGGGCGGGTCCAGGGGGGTTAAAGGTCGTTCTCCTCTCGCCCCCCCCCACTCCCAGGAATGGGGATGGGGAGGGGTCCGGCTGCTGTCGTGTGCCCCCGCCGGCGGGCCTGGGGGGAGGGGGGGCACCAGGGGTCGTTACCTCTTGAGCTGGCGGAAGTGGGCGCTGGACGCAGTGGAGAGAAAAAGAGAAGCAGAGACATGAAGCCAAGAGGGGCTTGGGGCGGGGGACTCGTGGGGGGCTGGCGTGCCCCACTCCAAGGGGCTCTGCTCAACAGGCAGGGCGTGCTTCTGCCAGCACCCCAGCCCCCACGTGGGGGGGAAGGCTGATGCGATGCTGCCCCACTGCTCTACGTGGGGGTCCCCGGGGAGGCAGGAAGCCAAGGAGGGGGGTTATGGGGTGTCAGCCCCCCTCCACATGGGGGTCCCCAGGGAGGCAGGGGTTAGCGAGTATGTAAACTTGATGGGGTAAATGTGTGCGAATCTGGGTTAGACACACACAGTCAGCGTCCCCCCGGAAAGCACCGGGGTTCGTTTGTGCAGAACCCCAAGTTAGTGTGAATGAGCCGGGGTGGGGTCACCCCAAAAGGTGCGGCTGAGCGAGTCCCAGGCACCGACAGGAGTCATGGCACAGCTGGGGAGGGGACCCAGAAGTCCTGGCTCCCAGCCCACAGCAGAGAAGGTGGATCTGGTGCCATGTAGTGGCCCTGTTCCCCAGTGCACCCCCACAGCGGGTCTGTCCGCCCAGGTGTCCTGGGGGGCTGGCCCCCGAGTTGGGGCAGCGGGGGCTGATGGGCGGGAGTGGGGGGTGTTCCCAGGCAGACACACACTTGACACTCTCCTCCTGCTCCCCGAATTCCTCGTCGTTGAAGCCGAAGTGGTCGATGAAGGCCGAGGTCACCTGCTGCATCTGGTAATCCACGAAGGCCTGGAGAGGAGGGACAGACACAGCCAGAAGCTGGGAGGGCATCGGGCACAGGGGGGCTGGGTAGCCGGGGACCCCTTGCCCGGCGCTGGGATGCGGCTGGCTCTGGGGGGGGGCAAACCCAACCTGCTGCAGCACGGCCTCCTGGGGGAAGTTGAACTCCTTCAGGTCGTTCTCCTCGTCGTCGCTGGACGAGTGCAGATTGTGCATGTTCACCTGCAGGGAGCGATGGGGCTCGTTAGGGTCACGGTACGGGGGGCGGGGCCGAGTCCCGTCCCTCCCTCCGACACCTCCCAGCTGAGTGGGGGGCAGCACCGGCTGGGTGGGTCCCTCAGAACATGGGACAGAGCCCCAGGACATTGCTCGGGCGTTAGCTGGCGGAACTCCCTGCTACAAGACGGGGCTGAGACTCGAGTAAAGACGGGCTCGCGGCTTCCACAGTGCTTGGCACAGGGCAGGAAACCAGTGGGCACATGGGGCTGGTATCGGCACTGACAGCTGGACAGACATGGGGGTAGCCCTGGGGGGGATCAGCCTGTGGGGCTGGGGCTGGGGCGGTGTGTGAAGCGCAGGAAACTCACCAGATCCACCACGTTTTTCTTGTTGGTCTCTGCCAGGGGCCCCGAGACGAACTTCTCCCACCGCTCCTGCTCCTCCTCCGGCAGCTCTGCCAGGGCAGGGGCAGCGGAGTGAGATGGTGCCCCCCATGGGCGGCAGCCCCCTGCCACAGCTCCACACCACTGCCCCGGGGGCAGGGAAGAGCCACAGAGCTGGGTGCCCCAGCCACCCCCTATGGGCCCTGGGGGGGGGCAGGAACACCCACAGCGCAGGGCACCCCGGCCCTGATCCACCCCCTATGGGCCCCGAGGGGGCAGGAATACCCACAGCGCAGGGCACCCCGGCCCCGATCCACCCCCTATGGGCCCCGGGGGGGCAGGAATACCTACAGCGCAGGGCACCCCGGCCCCGATCCACCCCTTATGGGTCCGGGAGTGGGGGGGGCAGGAACACCCCAGGCACAGGGCGCCCCGCCAACCGCCTACTAAGGGTCACCACAGGCCGGGCAGCGAGCTGGGAGCCAAGGGGCTGGTTCTGTGCCCCCCGCTGGCCCAGCGCCCCCCCTGCACCCACCTTTCAGCAGCTGCCCCACGAGGGCGACGTGAGGACCCTTCTCGGAGCTCTGGACGAGGGCGTTGGCGATGCGCGTCAGGTGGCCCATGTACCCCCTCCGCCGGCCGCCAGCTGCCCTGCAACGGGACCCGAGGGCCGGGCGTCACCGCAGCGCCCACCCCGCCGGCAGGGCTGAGCCCAGGGCGGCGCTGGGCTGCGGGGCGGGGGGCTCAGCCAGGGGCAGCTCTCCCCTGTAGTCAGCACCGGACACTAGGGGGCGCTCTCACAGCATCCACCCCAGCACAGGGCTCAGAAGAGCTGGGCTCCCCCCCCCCCCCCAGCTCTGGGAGGGTTGTCGGGTCTGGTGGTTGGGGGGGGCTGGGCTCCCCTCGTAGCGGGGTGTCTCGCTCTTTACCCCCCCCCACCACTTACTGGGTCTGCTCGTTCTCCTCCCAGGCCGACAGGATTCGTTGCACCAAGTGGCATTTCTGCAGCAGCTGCAGGGGCGGGAGAGAAGGGGGCAGCGGGTCACGGCCGGGCGGGGCAGAGACGGGACCCACCACTGACTAAGGGGGAGCAGGAGGCAGCGTTGGTTACTGGTTTGCGGGGGAGCCAGGACTCCTGGGTTCTCTACGGGGCTCTGGGAGGGAAATCTAGTCCAGTGGGTTAGACGGGGAGGGGGCTGGGAGCCAGGATTCCTGGGTTCGATCCCCGGCTCTGGGAGGGGAGTGGGGTCCAGTGGGTTAGACGGGGAGGGGGCTGGGAGCCAGGACTCCTGGGTTCGATCCCCGGCTCTGGGGGGAGGAGTGGGGTCCAGTGGGTTAGACGGGGAGGGGGCTGGGAGCCAGGACTCCTGGGTTCTCTCCCTGGGGCCAATCATAACCCCAGAGGAAGGAGGCGACTGCAGATCCTGCCCACACTGGGCTGCCCGCCCCCTGCCCAGGAGCTTCAAGGGTCCCCCCCCACTCACATGCTTGACGACGGGGCTGTCTGGCGGGGGCTGCGAGTCCTCGGGGGGGGCGCCGGCCCGCAGCAGGGTGCTCAGACACGCCTCCAGCTGGGCATGCAGGAAATTGTTGTAGGTGTATTTGAAATACAGGTCCTGGGCGAGAGAGAGACGCAGCTCAGGACTGCGCTTGCAGGGGACACCGGGCACCAGCCTGGCTATGGCGCCCAGCCGCCGGGGGCTGGGTACACGGGGACCCCTCGCCCGGTGCTGGGACGTGGCCCCTCTGGGGTGGGGTGAGAGGGCTGGGTATACGGGAATCCTGCCCGGCACTGAGATGGGCCCCTCTGGGGTGGGGGCTGGTGGTACAGCTGGCCGCTTTGGGACGGGAAGTGAAACGATCTCCTTCCCAGATCCAGGACTGGCGCTGGACTCCGGGGGTTTCCGTCCTGGCCTCGTCTTCTAACCAACGGGCAGAAATCAAAGCAAACTTGCCCCCTCAGAAACCTCCTGCCCTCACTCAGCACGACCCATTCCCGTCGCCAGACAAGCCGAGCACTGACCAGGCTAAATGGGCCCCTGCCTCTGACCCGGGGCGGGAGGGAGGGGGCAGGACACCCGGGCAGCTGGGCCCCTGGCTCTGACCCGGGGGCAGGAGGCAGGACACCCGGGCAGCTGGGCCCCTGGCTCTGACCCGGGGGCAGGAGGCAGGGCACCCGGGCAGCTGGGCCCCTGGCTCTGACCCGGGGGGCAGGAGGCAGGGCACCCGGGCAGCTGGGCCCCTGGCTCTGACCCGGGGGCAGGAGGCAGGACACCCAGGCAGCTGGGCCCCTGGCTCTGACCCGGGGGCAGGAGGCAGGACACCCGGGCAGCTGGGCCCCTGGCTCTGACCCGGGGGCAGGAGGCAGGACACCCGGGCAGCTGGGCCCCTGGCTCTGACCCGGGGGCAGGAGGCAGGGCACCCGGGCAGCTGGGCCCCTGGCTCTGACCCGGGGGCAGGAGGCAGGGCACCCGGGCAGCTGGGCCCCTGGCTCTGACCCGGGGGCAGGAGGCAGGACACCCGGGCAGCTGGGCCCCTGGCTCTGACCCGGGGGCAGGAGGCAGGGCACCCGGGCAGCTGGGCCCCTGGCTCTGACCCGGGGGCAGGAGGCAGGACACCCGGGCAGCTGGGCCCCTGGCTCTGACCCAGGGGCGGGAGGGAGCTGGCCATCCCCCCCCTGCACATGGGCCCCTGGCTCTGACTTCACACAAAAGCTGACCCCAGGATTGGTCCTTGTTGGCCCCGCCCCCTCGTCACCATCCCATTGGCTGAGCCCTGCCCCGCCCCCAGCACTCACCAGCATGGTGTCCAGGGCACCCAAAGCCAGCAGCTCCTCCTGCAGCCCGGCGTCCCCGGCCCCCAGCGCGCTGCCCAGAAGCTTCACCACCTGCAGCCGCGTGTTCCCCAGCGGCGGGTCCAGCAGCCCCCACGACATCTGCAGGGCCGGCCGCTGTGGGGAGCAGGGGTTAGCACAGGCGAGAGAACCCAGGCGTCCGGGCAGCCCCCCCAGACCTAACGCCCCTCCCAGCGCCAGGGATGGAACCCAGGAGTCCTGGCTCCCGGCCCACCCTGCTCTAACCACGAGCCCCCACTCCCCTCCCAGCGCCAGGGATGGAACCCAGGAGTCCTGGCTCCCGGCCCACCCTGCTCTAACCACGAGCCCCCACTCCCCTCCCAGCGCCAGGGATGGAACCCAGGAGTCCTGGCTCCCGGTCCACCCTGCTCCAACCATTAGCCCCCACTCCCCTCCCAGCGCCAGGGATGGAACCCAGGAGTCCTGGCTCCCAGCCCACCCTGCTCTAACCATTAGCCCCCACTCCCCTCCCTGCGCCAGGGATGGAACCCAGGAGTCCGGGGGCCCAGCCCACCCTGCTCTAACCATTAGCCCCCACTCCCCTCCCAGCACCAGGGATGGAACCCAGGAGTCCTGGCTCCCAGCCCACTCTGCTCTAACCATTAGCCCCCACTCCCCTCCCAGCGCCAGGGATGGAACCCAGGAGTCCTGGCTCCCGGCCCACCCTGCTCTAACCATTAGCCCCCACTCCCCTCCCAGCGCCAGGGATGGAACCCAGGAGTCCTGGCTCCCAGCCCACCCTGCTCCAACCATTAGCCCCCACTCCCCTCCCAGCGCCAGGGATGGAACCCAGGAGTCCTGGCTCCCGGCCCACCCTGCTCTAACCACGAGCCCCCACTCCCCTCCCAGCGCCAGGGATGGAACCCAGGAGTCCGGGGGCCCATTACCTTCGGGGGTTCGATCAGCAGCTGGTGGAAGTCCCGGAGGTAACCTCTGAGGGCCAGCAGGGTGCTGGGGCTGGCCTGGCAGGCGCTACCGTCCGAGCCCAGAGGCCCCAGCTCCAGCTGCCCTTCCAGAGGGCAGTAAAAGCTGCCCATCCCCCCGGCCTCGGACCTGCAGGGGCAGAGGAAAGGATGAGCAGGGGTGGGGTGGCCGGCTGGCCCCGCCCCCTCCCGCCAGCTCCACCCCCTCACCTGGCTCGCCGTGGCTCCAGCAGCGTCAGCAGCACCTGGATCCCGCTGACGATGACGGACTCGTCCCGCTCGTCCGCCAGCATGTTCCCCAGCAGCTGCTCCACCGTCTCCTGCCTTCGGGGGGGGCCCAAACACCCCACCCCCACCCCTGTCAGAGGGGCCAGCCGAGGGGGGCCCCAAACACCCCATCCCCCGGGGACCCAGCCCTGCCCCCCACCCCAGAGGGGCCGTGTCTCAGCACCGGGTGAGGGTCCTTGGCTCGTGGTCCGGGAGCTTCAGGCTTCTGCTTCACCATCGTTAACTTGGGTTGATACTGGGAGGGCCAGGACGCCACCCTCCAACCAAGGGGGCCCTGGGCTGCCCCCTTCCCCAGCCCTGCCGGTGCCCCTCCCACCCGACCCGCAGCCCCTTGCTAGCCCAGCCCTGCCGGTGTCCCTCCCTCCCGACCTGCAGCCCCCTGCTAGCCCAGCCCTGGGCTGCCCCCTTCCCCAGCCCTGCCGGTGCCCCTCCCACCCGACCCGCAGCCCCCTACTAGCTCAGCTCTGGGCCCCCCCGTTCCCCCAGCCCTGCTGGTGCCCCTCCCACCCGACCCGCATCCCCCTGCTAGCCCAGCCCTGGGCTCCCCCCTCCCGACCCACAGCCCTGCACTCACTTCTCCAGCGTGGCCAGCAGCTGGTCGGGTTCGGGGCTGTCCTGGATCTGCACCATCTGCTCCCGGCTCAGGCGGATGATGTCACACAGGGACTGGGAGGCGTTGGAATGTTGCTGGGGTGGGGGGAAAGAGACCCCGTTACCGGGGCGATGGGAAAGGCGGGGCCAAGTACTGGGAGGCGGGGCCAGTCCCTCTGCCCACGCCCCACCGGAGCTGCCGGCTTAGAGGTACGGACCCCCATTGCCAGTAGGGGCTGGAGGCAGCGGGAGCCAGGACTCCTGGGTTCTCTCCCCAGGTCTGGGAGGGGAGTGAGGTCTAGTGGTTAGAGCGGGGGGGGGGGCTAGGAGCTCCCCGCCTGTAGCTGTCCCCCCCCATGCCCCTCCCCCACCAGGTGGGGGCCACGCTGCTCACATTGTCATCTTTCGAAGGGTGAATCATCTCGATCAACCTCTGCACGATCTTCTCCTCGTTCAGCCACTGTGAAGGGAACAGCACAACTCGGTGCCCCTCACTTCTGACCCGCAGCCCCCTCCCAGCCCAGCCCCGGGCTCCCCCACAGCTCTGCCAGTGCCCCCCCCACGGGGGTTTCCCTCTGGCTCAGCCTGGCTGGAAGCTGTGACTTTCTTCCTGCCGGGGGGGGGGGGGGGCAGCAGGCAAGGCTGGCCACTGGGGGAGGGGACGGCCCCTAGGGAGCTTTGACCAATGGAGTGCCCTGCTGAACCTGAGGTAGCCCTGGAGTTGCCAATGAGATGCGGGCAAAGGGGCAGGGGCGAGCGTGGGGCTGGGCCCAGGGTAGCAAATGAGATGGGGGGGGGGGCGGCAGGCAAGAAGGGGCGGGGCTGTGGGTGCCCAGGGGCGGGGCCAGCAGGCAAGGGGCAGGGCCAGCAGGAAACCACTCCCTCACGTTGAAGACGTCCTGGCGGAGCGCTGGCTGCTCCACGCAGGTTAGGAGGCGCAGCAGCAGGTCCATGATGGCCGAGGTGCCGATGTGCCGCAGCAGCAGGCTGACGAAATCGTCCTTCTTGCGCAGGAAGGCCACAATCTGCAAGGGACCGGTCCAGCCCCATTAGCCTGGGGAACTCCCCACCACTGTGGCCAGGCATCCAGCTTTGGGGCCTGAGCTGCCTCCTGCTCGGGGTGATGAGGAGGGAACAGGCTCCCAAGCTCCGCAGGTGGGACGCCAGGCTAGATGGGCAGACGTGCCGCAGCGATGCCCTGGCCTGGAGGACATCTGGGGGGGCCCAGATGAGCCCGTCACCCACCTGCAAGCAGCAGCGAGTGTCTCACTCATGAGGGGCAGCAACGGCCAATAGCCCTGGGCCCAACTAGCCTGGTCTCCTGCCTGTGCCAGCTGCTTTGGGAGGTAGGGTGCTAGGGAGAGGGGCCACCCCCTCCACAGCTCAAAGGGGGCCAGCTGCTGCCAGGCTATTGGTGGTATTGTGGTAACACCCCCCCCCCAACACCCCTACCCGCTGGCTGGGACTGGGGGCCCATCGTGCCAGGCGCTGCACATAGGTGGAGCGAGAGCCAGTCCGGACCCCAAGACCTGGCAGGCGGAAGGGAAACTGAGGCAGGGGGAGGCTGGGCCTGGCCACCCGGCGCACCTGGTCTGTCTTGCGGTTGATGAGGATGCCCATGACCTTGCTGAAGAAGCTGGCCAGCAGCGGGTTGAGGACCCCGTGTCCCTGCAGGAAGCCGTAGAGACGCCGCAGCAGGCCCTCATCCTCGCCCAGCGCATCCGTGATGGGGCTCACGTCCGATGTCAGGATCTCGCACGACACACTGGGGTACCTGCGGCGGGGCACATGAGCACCAGCCAGCTGTGGGGGAGCTGGTGCCCCATACTCCCAACCCACAGCCCCTGCTAGCCCAGCCCTGGGCACCCCGCAGCCCTGTGGTGCCCGACTCCCGACCTGCAGCCCCTGCTAGCCCAGCCCTGCTGGTGTAGTAGTAAGATTTTATGTTAGCATTTTTATATAATTTAGAATGAAGAAAAGTGAGGTAATAATGTAGCATGTATTAAACGTATTGGTGTGTGATATGATCATATCCTGCTAACCACCCTTTCTGAATAGCAGAAAGGAACGGGCCTAATGGGCCATTTGGTAAAGATGCATCATCCGAAGTCAGTGTCTGGGCTGATTTCAAGGCAGTAACAGACCTTTAAGGGTGATGACTTTGTCGCATTTTAAAATTAGTAAAAAAAAGCCGTGATTGTTTTCTTTAGCACTGCAATTTAACGTTCCTGTTCAAAATGTTCTGTGTAAATTAATTCCGTTTTCTGCGTAAATAAAAAACGTGTACGTTAAAAAAGAAGAGTAAAAGCCATCGCTAAACCAAATGGTCTAGGAAGGAACCGAAAACAGACGCAAGGACACCAAGAGGCTGCAACACGCCCCTATTAAAATATCAAAAAAGGGCAAATTAACAACTCTAAAAATAAAACAGGCACCTATGAATGGAGACAAAATAGCTGTGATCAAAACCAGTATAAAATAACTCCCTAAAAAACTTAATAAAAAATAAAAAATAAATTTAAGAAAACAAGCTCTCATCAACCAATTGATTACAGCGTAACAGTGCAAAACTCATTGGTCCCAATAAAAATAAAAATAAAAATCACTATATAAACAAGGGGCCTTGCCATGAAACTTTGGGTTTGTCCTGCCAAGACTTCCCCGGATCATCGTGTCCTGAACGACAGAACCCGGCTCCTCCCTACCCGTGATCAACCTAGCCACTAGATTGATCCGACTCTGGACTGGTAACTATAACGTCGACTGGCGGGACGGTGTGTGTGTTCACGGTGTGATTGAATGCATGTGCTAATTGTTAGATCTTCAATAAACGCGGGGTATTGCCTTTTCCCCTGAAAAAGATCCCGTGTGCTTCTTATAAGCATAACACTGGTGCCCCTCACTCCCGACCCGCAGCCCCCTACTAGCCCAGGCCTGGGCTCCCCCAACCCCAGCTCTGCCGGCGCCCCTCACTCCCGATCCGCAGGCCCTCACTTGTACCGCAGCTGCTCGTCCAGCTCGGCGGGGGGCTCCTCGGTCACGCAGGTCACCAGCGCCTCCATGTGCTGCGGCTGCACCAGGAAGTCCAGCAGCCGGCGGTTCACCACCTTGCACTCCTGCAGCACATCGTCCTCGTCCAACAGCTCCCGCAGCGTCAGGTCGGCGCGTTCCAGCAGCGTCTCGATGTGCGAGCTGGAGTGCAGGTCGAACTTCCAGAACATGGCGCCCTGCGGGGCGGGGATGGAAAGCGGGGGTCAGCGGCCACAGATCCCAGCACGGGCGGTGGGTGAACCTCGGGGAGGCTAGCCCCCAGCCCGGACCACCCCTTCTGCCCGAGGCCCCTCCCCTCCGAGCCCAGAGTTCGCCCCCCCAGAATTCAGCGCCATGTGGGTCAGTCACAGACCCCGCCCTAGAAATCCGGACAGGTGAGGTTGGGGCAACAGGAGAGATCAGGAACCACCCCCCCACACACACATCAACAAGGGCCCCACCTGGCCAGATGCTTCATAGATACACCCCACCTGGAACTCGATCGGGGCTAGATCAGAGCCAGTGCCCCCTAGAGAGGAAAGGCCCCATGTCCCATTCCCCAGCTCCCTGAGCCAGCCAGTGCCCGTCCTGGGGCCGGATGGAAGCCAGCCCCCACCAGAACCCAGATCTCTCCTGTTTCCTAGAGGGATGCTCTAGCTGGTCAATATCCCTTCCCTGGTCAGCCCTGGGCCAGCAGGGGAGACCGGCTCTGCCCCACATTGGCTGGGGGTAGGGAGCGGCTCATAAACAGGAATGGGGGAGCAACTCTCAGAGCGTGGCACGTGGGAGGGAGCAACGGATGAGGGCCCGTCCATCACATGCCCTGCGGGCCCCCCGCTCACCTTGCTGTTTGTGTTAGAACATCTATAGGCCCAGACTGAGACCGGGGCCCCGTTGTGCCGGGCGCTGCACAGACCCCCCCCCCCCCACTGAGATTGGGGCCCCGTTGCGCCGGGCGCTGCACAGACCCCCCTCCCCGACTGAGATCGGGGCCCCGTCGCGCCGGGCGCTGCACAGACCCCTCCCCCCCACTGAGATCGGGGCCCCGTCGTGCCAGGCGCTGCACAGACCCCTCCCCCCCCACTGAGATTGGGGCCCCGTCGCGCCGGGCGCTGCACAGACCCCTCCCCCCCCACTGAGATCGGGGCCCCGTCGCGCCGGGCGCTGCACAGAGAAGGCTCAGCCCTGGGCCCTAATCTATACAGATGAAGGCAGGGTCCCCCCCGTTTCCCACACGGAGCGTGGACTCAGCAGCAGCCCCGGAGCCGGCGCTCGCACCCAGCTCTCCCACGCTACTCGGCCAGCCTCCCTCCCGGGTGAGGCTTCCAGCCATCGCCGCAAGGCTAACGAACAGGCTCCGGCCCCCCTCCCGCCCACACAGCCCCCGTTCGCAGCCCTACCCCTGCGGCAGCCAGCTTCCTTCCAGAGCCCGGCCAGGCCCCGCGCCCTGACGGGCAGGGGAAGCACCAGGCCGGCAGACACAGCTGCGGAGGCCTGGATCCTTCCCGGGGCGGCCGGCTTTGGGCGCCACTAGAGGAACGGAAGCGGCAGGAAATGGGTTTGCAGAGAGGGTTGAGAGGCAGCGCTGGGAGAGCAGAGCAGAGCGCGCAAGGGGCGGGGGCCACAGCCCAGAACCCCAACCTGGCGCCTCCAGCCCCCCGCTGGCTTGGGGGCGATGCCCCGCACTGCCCCTTAGCCTCAGAGCCCTTGCCCGTGCACACTGGAACCTGCCTGCGGCTGTCTCCGGGCAGCACCTGGTGCAACAGGGCCCTGATCTCAGCGGGGCAGGAACCCTCTCTCGCTGGGTCTGGGCAGCGCCCGGCACGACGGGGCCCTGATCTCAGAGGGGCAGGGACCCTCTCTCTCTGGGTGTGGGCAGCACCCGGCACGACGGGGCCCTGGTCTCAGCGGGGCAGGGACCCTCTCTCGCTGGGTCTGGGCAGCGCCCGGCACGACGGGGCCCTGATCTCAGCGGGGCAGGGACCCTCTCTCGCTGGGTCTGGGCAGCGCCCGGCACGACGGGGCCCTGATCTCAGCGGGGCAGGGACCCTCTCTCGCTGGGTCTGGGCAGCGCCCGGCACGACGGGGCCCTGATCTCAGCGGAACAGGGACCCTCTCTCGCTGGGCCTCTCTGGTGCAGGCTCATGAGCTTCCCACCCCCACCCCCTGCCCTTCAGAACGGCCCCAGGAGCACATGGGAGAGTCCAAAGATGAAACTGAGGCACTGCACCCCTCCCCCTCCAAGGTGAAATTTGAACTTGGGGCTTTTCGGCCCAGCACTGAGCCAGCAGCGAACAGCAAAGGCCGAACATTCGCTATCTTAGAATGATGCCCGCCTGACACGGAGCCACAGAAACCCGGGGGGGGTGGGGGGAGTCCCTCCAGATTGACCCCACCTGGCCACCAGCAGGTCTCAGCTCCTAGCAAGAGGATTTAGCTGCTGAGCCCTTTGGGCTGGGGACCGTGCTACTCTGCCTAGCACCTAGCGCATCAGAGCCCGGGCACTGGTGAATGAGACATGATTAATGAGGAGGGCCCTGACTGGAACGAAAGAGACCCCCTAAGAGGGCCCTGTGCCCCATGCCCCACCCCTCTGAGCCAGCCAGTCCCTGCCCTGGGGCTGGATGGGAGCTGGCGCCCCCTAGACGGGACAGGCCCCGTGCCCCATTCTCTGCAGTCCTGTAACCCTTTCCCCGACACACCGGTTAGGATTTCTGTCACCCAGGTGCCAGAAACGCCCCCAAGCTGCTACCGACGCTGTTGATGCCAGCCACGGCAGGGAGATAGAGCGCTCCGCCGGGCCATGGCACGCTGCCACCCAGCCACCGCGGTGCATGGGGCTTTCAACCCTCCTGCCGCCAGGTCAGCCCGACGCCGGGAGCTGCGCACGCCGTCGCCTGCCCCAGAGGCCGCCCGCTGTGGGGACAAGGCCTCTAGGACATCCACACCCCAGGCTCACGCCACCACCGCCCCAATTCCTGTCCCTCCCCCGCTGTAACCACTAGTCCCCACGCCCCTCCCAGAGCCAGGAAGGGGACCCAGGAGTCCTGGCTCCCAAGACGGCAACCAGAGGAAGCAGAGCAGCCCCAGCGCCCAGGCGCCGCCCCCCCCCGCCCCAAGTGGCGCACACAGAACCGGGGCACAGGCTCCGTCTCCCTCCAACGCAGGGGCAGGTTTCTTTAGCCCCCCACGGCCCCTTGGCCGTGATGCGAGGGGAGGGTGAGATTTGGGGGCGGGGGAGGTGGGGCAGAGAGCACATCTGTGCAGCGCCGAGCGCGGGGCGGGAAGCTGGGCTGAGACCCCCCCACAGACTGACCGGCGCAGGCAGCCGGACAGAGCCCCCGAGGCAGGGTCCCCGGGGGGTGCAGGGGTCTCTACAGGGCCATGGGGGTGCCCCTGCTCGGAGAGGTGTCGACAGGGAGTCTTGGGGGGGCTCCCTCAGCCCAGCTCAGGGGTCTGTGGGGGGCCCAGCCATGCCCAAGTGAGTCTATGGGGGGCCCCGGTGGGGGGGTTAATTGGGGGGGGCCCCGGCCCAGGGGATTCCGGGCCCCAGGTGTGGGGGGGTCCAATGGGGGGGGCCCGGCCCAGGGGATTCCGGGCCCCAGGTGTGGGGGGGTCCAATGGGGGGGGCCCGGCCCAGGGGATTCCGGGCCCCAGGTGTGGGGGGGTCCAATGGGGGGGGGCCCGGCCCAGGGGATTCCGGGCCCCAGGTGTGGGGGGGTCCAATGGGGGGGGCCCGGCCCAGGGGATTCCGGGCCCCAGGTGGGGAGGTCAATGGGGGGGGCCCGGCCCAGGGGATTCCGGGCCCCAGGTGTGGGGGGGTCCAATGGGGCGGAGCCCCGGCCCAGGGGATTCCGGGCCCCAGGTGTGGGGGGGTCCAATGGGGCGGAGCCCCGGCCCAGGGTCCCAGCGCTCCCCACGGGGCTGAGAGGCCAATATGGCGGCCACCGAGAGACGCAGCTCACCGGGCCCCCCCTGGGTCTCCTGGCACCGCCGCGATCCCACAATGCCCCGCGCCCGGAACCAGCCTGCGGCCGCTCTGCCGCCCCGTCTCACTGCCAGGCTCCCGTCTCCGGGGCAACGCGCATGCGCCGAGCGGACCCTTCCTTCCGCCTCTCCGGGAGCCCGCACATGCGCACACTTGGCACGAAGGCTTCCGGGGGGCCGCGCCCGCGAGAATTCGGGGCCCCGCCTCCCACTGGATGCGCATGCCCAGAACCTTCCCGCGCCTGTTTCCCAGCTTAGATACGCATGCGTCACACTCCCATTTATTTTTTTTTTAACCCTGCCCACCGCCTCATCTGGTCGAGCATGCGCAGAATAACCTCTCCTCCTTCCAGGGCGAGCTACGCATGCGTAGATGTTTCGTTGCGTTGCCTCAGTAAGTGCGCATGCGTATAGCTTGTTGCTTCCCCCCGCCCCCCGCCTGCGATCGTTCGCCTGCGCCCTGAAAATAGGTCTGGGGTCCTTGGGTGCGCATGCGCTTGACGCAGAGCCAGGCCTTGACCTTCCCCTGCTCGTTCCCTCCCCTACGCCAAGCGCCGAGGCGCATGCGCAGGGGCCACTGGCATCCAATTAATATTTAAATTAAGGCGGGAACGTTGTGGTGCTTTGCAGAAATCTGCATATCCAGGTAGCTGAGCCTGGGTCTGTGACATCGTCACGCTGTGTGACAGCACCGGCCACCATGACATCGTCTCTCCACACGTCTGACATCATCAGCGTGCGCCACCCAGTGCTGGGGCACGTCCCCCCTGCGTGACAGCATCACCCTGAGACAACCCCTCCCAGGGGGTGACCTCATCCCCTGGTGTGACATCACCACCCTGCATGTGTGACATCACACCCCAGGGCACGGCCTCATGGCGTGACAGCGGAACTCAGACTCACTGACATCATCGCTCTGAGCTGCATCAGCAGCTAGATCATGTTTGACATCATCATTGCACCATCAGCACTTTAGCCTAATTGCTGTGGGTATGACATCATCACTGTAGCCTCATCAGCTAGAATACCCCTGGGGGGGAAGGCCCCGGGCCCCATTCCCTGCCCCCCTGAGCCAGCCAGTCCTGGCCCTGGGTGGACCCCCTAGAGGAGAAAGGCCACGAGCCCCATTCCACAACCTCCCACCCTTTTGCCTAGGTCCCAGCTCTTCCCACGACACTCCTCCCCCCGCCCGCACCCAGCGGCCCTGGCACCCCCCAGGAAAGAGAAAAGGATCCACCCAATGCAGAACTTTTATTAGAAAACCACTGGCAACAAGAACACAGGAAGAGGCAGAGCAGGAGGGCCCCAAGCTGCACCCCCCCAGCTCATCCCCCCACCCTGTCCCTTAGACCCCCCCCCCCCGACATGGGGAGCATGTGACAGCAATGGGCATAGCACCTATCCTCTGGTCTCCCAAGTCAGTCGGCACCCCCACACGCTCAGGTGGGTCCCGATCAGGGCCGGCACTCCCCAGAGGGAAAGACCCTGTGCCCCATTCCCTACGCCCCCCCCGCAGCCAGCCAGTCTCCTGCTCTGGCGGCACCCCCTAGAGACCTCACCGGTGGGGAAGTGTTCTCAGTTTCACCCCTCGCTCCCTGAATTCACCATTACAACTCGAGTGGCGGGGAGGAGGGGGTGTCTCTTGCAGGATCTACACAGAACAAATGGGGGCCAGAGGCTCCTGGTTCTGATCCAGCTGAGGGCCCTTCTCTCTGGGGTGGCTCCAGCCCCTCTCCCCAGCCCCATGTGGGGTGGCGGGGGCAGGCAGCCAGGGGCCCTCAGAAAAGCCACCCACACGAGACAACAGAAAAGGCCGGGAAGAAACCACCATTCTGAGGAGTGGGCACCTCAGGGAAGTCACCGATCCGGGGTGGGGGTGGGGGCACTCATCGATCCATGCTGCTGTCGTCGGGGGGCGTCTGAAAGCAGACACGCTGGAGCCGCTCGCAGAACTCCAGCTCCTCCTAGGGGAACACAAGGCGCACGGGTGAGCAGCTGGGCTGCCCCACAGCCGGCAGGGTGGGAAAGTTCCCAAGCTAAGTGGGGTTCGGGTGGGTTGTGGTATGGACGGGAGACCCAGCGGGGCATTGTGGGGCGCGGGCTCAGCAGGGGGCACTCTCCCCAGGCAGTCAGTGCTGGTGCAGGCACTAGGGGGCACTGTGTGCAGGCTGAGCAGGAGGCCCAGTCCTGGCACTGCTGCTGGGAAGTTCACCACAGTCCAGCTGAACTCCCGCTTGGGAAGGAAATGGGGGTAGATGGGAGCAGGGGCGGTAATGAGCGAGGACCACTCTGCCCCCCACATACCCACCATGCCATTAGTTTAGTTAAGGAGCCGCGGGATCTCACGGACTAGGTGGAGCAAGGACAGAGATTCTCTGTGAGCCGGGCTGCCGCGGCACCAGCTCACCCACAAATGCAGGGAGATGCTTGCGGAGGGGACCGAGTAGATCTGGGATCATTATTGGATCGCATACGGAGGGCGGTGCCCCCAGTGCCAGGCGAGGGGAGAGGACCGAGCACGGTCAGGGGCAGAGGGCAGCCTCAGGTTGTGCACAGGGTGTGGCCGGAGGGTGGTGCCCCATAGCGCCAGGCAGGGGGAGACGGGCAGAGGGACGACATGCGGGTGGCTCTGACCCGGAAGAGCCTCCTACCTGGAACTCCTCCTGCTGCTGCAGCAGCTGGCAGCGCTCCCTCAGCAGCTCCTCCAGCGCCAGCTGCGGCTCCCGGCACTCCCGCACCCCCTGGGGGAAATCCGTCACCAGGCTGCGGGTGGGGGCGGGGCAAATGGGGGGTTATTCTCAGCACAGACCAAGGTCCCATCACTCCCCCCCCCAGCTCTACCCACTAGGCTCCACGCCCCTCCCAGATCTGGGAAGGGAACCCAGGAGTCCTGGCCCCCGCACCCCCGTTCCCATCTCACCTGCAGAGGGCCCCCAGGACGTGTTCATGGAAGGGGCTGTGCTCAGAGCGGATCAGAGCCACCAGCTGCTGCACCATCCCCATGGAGCACAGGGTCTCTAGAAAGGGAGAGCAGCGAGTTAGGGGGCTGGAGCATGGCCCCAGGTGGGGGACGACGACAGAGGATGATGACTCCCCCCAGTGCCAGGTTGGGTGGGAGATGGGGCATGGCCGGACGGGAGGCAGAAGGTGGCACCTGGCCGAGCAGAGGGGGCCGGGCCAGGCGGGAAGCAGAAGGTGGCACCTGGCCGAGCAGAGGGGGCCGGGCCGGGCGGGAGGCAGAGGGCAGCGCCCCCCAGCGTCCCGGAGGCCCCTCACCTTTGTGCTCCGGGTGGTCCAGCAGCAGGTTCTGCAGCAGGAAGGCGGATTTGACCTTGAGCTTCTCCACAGGGCTCTGCATGGCGCGCATCAGCACCGAGAAGCCGTCCAGCCGCAGGAACTGCTGCAGGCCCCCCTCCTGGGCGCGCACCAGGCCTGGCGCCGGGGAGAGGGGCAGAGAGAGCCTCAGCTGGGGCAACGCACGCAGCTCCTCCCGCGCTGCAATGCCGCCTCCGGCCTCTGGGGGCAGAGGAAAGCAAGGGTTCCGCCCCCTGGCCTCTCTGCTACCATGGGGCCCAGTAATCTCTATGGCTGTGAAGCCAGTGGCCCCTAGAGGGCCCCATCCCCATCCCTGCCTTGGGGCCAGATCAGAGCCAGCGCCCCCTAGAGGGAACAGGCCCCGTGCTCCATCCCCACCTCTCGCCCTGCGGCCAGACAGGAGCCAGCAACCCCTACAGGGGACAGGTCCCGTGCCCCATCCCCACCCACTGCCTTGGGGCCAGATCAGAGCCAGCGCCCCCTAGAGGGGACAGGCCCCGTGCTCCATCCCCACCTCTCGCCCTGCGGCCAGACAGGAGCCAGCAACCCCTACGGGGGACAGGTCCCGTGCCCCATCCCCATCCCTGCCTTGGGGCCAGATCAGAGCCAGCGCCCCCTAGAGGGAACAGGCCCCGTGCTCCATCCCCACCTCTCGCCCTGCGGCCAGACAGGAGCCAGCAACCCCTACGGGGGACAGGTCCCGTGCCCCATCCCCACCCACTGCCTTGGGGCTGGATCAGAGCCAGCGCCCCCTAGATGGGACAGGCCCCATGCCCCATCCCCGCCCCCTGCAGGACTCACAGGAGATAGCAAAGAGCGCCTTGATGCGCACCGCGTCGGCCCCGTCGTGGTCCAGCAGCCGCAGCAGCTTGCGCATGCAGCCCAGCGCCAGGGCCTGCTCCTGCACCTTGGGCACGTTCTGGGCGCAGGTGCCCACGAGGTGGGCAGCACGCCAGCGCAGCTCCGGGATGGGGTGCTCCAGGTAGCGATGAGCCAGCAGCCGCATCCCGTCCAGCTTGCAGAAATCTGGGGGGGGGAGGGGCCTTGACAGCAGGTGCCCCAGAGACCATATGGTGCCCACAGGGGGTTCTCAGGCAGCTCCGGCGAGGCACCCCCTAAGCCAGCCCCACCCTGTGGGGGTCACCTGCTCGCAGGCTCAATTACATGGTTCACCCCCCATGACCCCATTCAGGGGGCCCCATCTCAGAGATCAGGCCTCCTTTGGGGGCAGCCCTGGTGCTCTGACAATCCACCCCCCCCAGAACCCTCACTGCCTTCCCCCCACAACACCACCCCCCACTTCCCAGTCCACGGGCACCCCCTGTTCCCATCCCCCCTGCCCCAGCACTCCCAGGATAATCCCCCATCCCGGCTCCCTCCCATCCTGCCCCGAGTGCCCCTCTCCTGCCCCCCAGAACCCCCTGCCCTGAATGCTCTACCCTATACCTGCGGCGTTGTCCAAGTTCTCGCACAGCTCAGCCAGCAGCTCCAGCGCGCTGGCCTGGCGGGAGGGGTCCCCCTCGGCCGGCTCCGAGGTCTCCCCGCCGTCCCCTCCAGGGGACACGGCCTCCAGCATCCGCAAACACTCCTTCATCTGCTCCACCTCCTCCAGCTGCCCCCTGAACGCCTGGGCCATGGCTTCCTGCAACCACTGCCGCCGCTGGGGGGGGCAGGGAGAGATGGGGGTCAGCGTCCAGCCCCGTCCCAACCCTCCCCGAGCCAGGGGGAGAACCTGGCTCCCAGCCCCACCCCACCCCGCTCTAACCACTAGAGCCCACTCCCCTCCAAAGTCAGGATAGGACCCAGGAGTGCTCGCACCTCGTCAGACATGGGCTCCAGCTGGCTGGGCTCGGCGTTGCCAGCGGTGATGGCCATCTGCAGCAGCCCCTGCAGGTTCTGCGGATGCTCGCGCGGCGGCTGATTCCCCCCGGCGCCCCCTTCAGCCATGGCTGGGGCAGTGCGGGGCCAAAGAGCCGGCGCCTTGGCCACGGGCCCTGCAGAGAAAGGCACAGACAACAGGAGTCAGGTACGGAGCTGGGGAGAGAACCCCGGCACCCTGGCTCCCAACGCCCCCCCTACTCTAACTGCTAAGCCCCACTCCCCTCCCAGAACCGGGAGGGGACTCAGGAGTCCTGGCTCCCACGTACCCTGCCCCCCAACTCTAACTCATCAACCCCACCCTCCATCACCTAGGTCCGGGGGGTCCAGGGGTTACCAGACGCTGGGTCCGCGCTGAGCTCTCGGCCTGTGACGGGGGGGGGGGGGGTCGCTGACGTCCGGCTCCCACTGCTGGCACCACAAGAGGGTCTGCTGGGGGGCAGGGAGAGAACCCAGGTCAGCATGGGAGGGGGACCCAGCCAGGCTGTGGGGCACAGGGTAGCGAGGGAGGTGTCCCCCATTAAACAGCCCCTGCCCTGGGGGGCAGCATATCACCCCACCCCGTCTTCTGCCCCGCCCCCCTCAGCCACCTCCCCCCATCCTCTTCCCTGCACTGCTCCCCCCGTCTTCTGCCCCCCCGGTCTTCTAAGCCACCCCCCATCCTCTTCCCTGCCCCGCTCCCCCTCTTCTGCCCCCCCCGGTCTTCTGAGCCACCCCCCCGTCCTCTTCCCTGCCCCGCTCCCCCTCTTCTGCCCCCCCGGTCTTCTAAGCCACCCCCCCGTCCTCTTCCCTGCCCCGCTCCCCCTCTTCTGCCCCCCCGTCCTCTTCCCTGCCCCGCTCCCCCCTCTTCTGCCCCCCGGTCTTCTGAGCCACCCCCCCCGTCCTCTTCCCTGCCCCGCTCCCCCTCTTCTGCCCCCCCGGTCTTCTGAGCCACCCCCTGTCCTCTTCCCTGCCCCGCTCCCCCTCTTCTGCCCCCCCCGGTCTTCTGAGCCGCCCCCCCGTCCTCTTCCCTGCCCCGCTCCCCCTCTTCTGCCCCCCCCGGTCTTCTGAGCCGCCCCCCGTCCTCTCCCCTGCCCCGCTCCCCCTCTTCTGCCCCCCCCGGTCTTCTGAGCCGCCCCCCGTCCTCTCCCCTGCCCCGCTCCCCCCTCTTCTGCCCCCCTGGTCTTCTGAGCCGCCCCCCCGTCCTCTCCCCTGCCCCGCTCCCCCCTCTTCTGCCCCCCGGTCTTCTGAGCCGCCCCCCCGTCCTCTCCCCTGCCCCGCTCCCCCCTCTTCTGCCCCCCCGGTCTTCTGAGCCGCCCCCCGTCCTCTCCCCTGCCCCGCTCCCCCTCTTCTGCCCCCCCGGTCTTCTGAGCCGCCTCCCCGTCCTCTCCCCTGCCCCGCTCCCCCGAGCCACCCCCCCGTCCTCTTCCCTGCCCCGCTCCCCCTCTCTTCTGCCCCCCCGTCCTCTTCCCTGCCCCGCTCCCCCTCTTCTGCCCCCCCGGTCTTCTGAGCCGCCTCCCCGTCCTCTCCCCTGCCCCGCTCCCCCCTCTTCTGCCCCCCCGGTCTTCTGAGCCGCCTCCCCGTCCTCTTCCCTGCCCCGCTCCCCCTCTTCTGCCCCCCCGGTCTTCTGAGCCGCCTCCCCGTCCTCTCCCCTGCCCCGCTCCCCCTCTCTTCTGCCCCCCCGTCCTCTTCCCTGCCCCGCTCCCCCTCTCTTCTGCCCCCCCGGTCTTCTGAGCCGCCTCCCCGTCCTCTCCCCTGCCCCGCTCCCCCTCTTCTGCCCCCCCCGGTCTTCTGAGCCACCCCCCGTCCTCTTCCCTGCCCCGCTCCCCCTCTTCTGCCCCCCCGGTCTTCTAAGCCACCCCCCCGTCCTCTTCCCTGCCCCGCTCCCCCTCTTCTGCCCCCCCGTCCTCTTCCCTGCCCCGCTCCCCCTCTTCTGCCCCCCCGGTCTTCTGAGCCGCCCCCCGTCCTCTCCCCTGCCCCGCTCCCCCCTCTTCTGCCCCCCGGTCTTCTGAGCCGCCCCCCGTCCTCTCCCCTGCCCCGCTCCCCCCTCTTCTGCCCCCCCGGTCTTCTGAGCCGCCCCCCGTCCTCTCCCCTGCCCCGCTCCCCCCTCTTCTGCCCCCCCCGGTCTTCTGAGCCGCCTCCCCGTCCTCTCCCCTGCCCCGCTCCCCCCTCTTCTGCCCCCCCGGTCTTCTGAGCCGCCCCCCGTCCTCTCCCCTGCCCCGCTCCCCCCTCTTCTCCCCCCGGTCTTCTGAGCCGCCCCCCCGTCCTCTCCCCTGCCCCGCTCCCCCCTCTTCTGCCCCCCCGGTCTTCTGAGCCGCCCCCCCGTCCTCTCCCCTGCCCCGCTCCCCCCTCTTCTGCCCCCCCGGTCTTCTGAGCCGCCCCCCCGTCCTCTCCCCTGCCCCGCTCCCCCTCTTCTGCCCCCCCCGGTCTTCTGAGCCGCCCCCCGTCCTCTCCCCTGCCCCGCTCCCCCCTCTTCTGCCCCCCCGTCCTCTTCCCTGCCCCGCTCCCCCTCTCTTCTGCCCCCCCGTCCTCTCCCCTGCCCCGCTCCCCCTCTTCTGCCCCCCCGGTCTTCTGAGCCGCCCCCCGTCCTCTCCCCTGCCCCGCTCCCCCCTCTTCTGCCCCCCGTCCTCTTCCCTGCCCCGCTCCCCCTCTCTTCTGCCCCCCGTCCTCTCCCCTGCCCCGCTCCCCCTCTTCTGCCCCCCCGGTCTTCTGAGCCGCCTCCCCGTCCTCTTCCCGGCCCCGCTCCCCCCTCTTCTGCCCCCCGGTCTTCTGAGCCGCCCCCCCGTCCTCTCTCCCTGCCCCGCTCCCCCTCTTCTGCCCCCCGGTCTTCTGAGCCGCCCCCCGTCCTCTCCCCTGCCCCGCTCCCCCTCTTCTGCCCCCCCGGTCTTCTGAGCCGCCCCCCCCGTCCTCTCCCCTGCCCCGCTCCCCCTCTTCTGCCCCCCCGGTCTTCTGAGCCGCCCCCCGTCCTCTCCCCTGCCCCGCTCCCCCTCTTCTGCCCCCCCGTCCTCTTCCCTGCCCCGCTCCCCCTCTCTTCTGCCCCCCCGTCCTCTCCCCTGCCCCGCTCCCCCTCTTCTGCCCCCCCGGTCTTCTGAGCCGCCTCCCCGTCCTCTCCCCTGCCCCGCTCCCCCGAGCCACCCCCCGTCCTCTTCCCTGCCCCGCTCCCCCTCTCTTCTGCCCCCCGTCCTCTCCCCTGCCCCGCTCCCCCCTCTTCTGCCCCCCCGGTCTTCTGAGCCGCCCCCCCCGTCCTCTCCCCTGCCCCGCTCCCCCCTCTTCTGCCCCCCCGGTCTTCTGAGCCGCCCCCCGTCCTCTCCCCTGCCCCGCTCCCCCTCTTCTGCCCCCCCGTCCTCTTCCCTGCCCCGCTCCCCCTCTCTTCTGCCCCCCGTCCTCTCCCCTGCCCCGCTCCCCCTCTTCTGCCCCCCCCGGTCTTCTGAGCCGCCTCTCCTCCCCGTCCCCCTCTCTCCCCCTTCTGGCCCCCCGTCCTCTCCTGCCCCGCCCCCCGAGCCACCCCCCCGTCCTCTTCCCTGCCCCGCTCCCCCTCTTCTGCCCCCCCGGTCTTCTGAGCCGCCTCCCCGTCCTCTTCCCGGCCCCGCTCCCCCTCTTCTGCCCCCCCCGGTCTTCTGAGCCGCCCCCCCGTCCTCTCCCCTGCCCCGCCCCCCCCGTCCTCTGCCCCGCTCACCCCCTACCGCGCCGCGCGCTCCCCACTCCCAGCCCTGGGCGCCGCCATCTTAGCCGGACGGGCGGGGGGCGGGGCCGCGAGGAGGGGGCGGGGCCGGGCGACCCCTGCTGGCGGGAGCGGAGCATGGGCGGCTGGGCGCGAGCCGGGGGGGGATGTAGGTGGGATTGCTGGGGGGCGATTGGGGGTGGGGTTGGGGGGATCTGAGGGGGTGTTGGGCGGGTGGGGTTGGGGGGATCCAGGGTGGGATTGCTGGGGGGGAATTGGGGGCGGGGGTTGGAGGGATCTGGGGGGGTGTCAAGCGGGGGGGTTGGGGGATCTAGATGGGATTGCTGGGGGGGAGTTGGGGGGCTGGGGGGATCTAGATGGGATTGCTGGGGGGGAGTTGGGGGGCTGGGGGGATCTAGATGGGATTGCTGGGGGGAATTGGGGGCGGGGGTTGGAGGGATCTGGGGGGGTGTCAAGCGGGGGGTTGGGGGGATGTAGGTGGGATTGCTGGGGGGTGAGTTGGGGGATCCAGGGTGGGATTGCTGGGGTGGGGGATTGTTGGGATCCATGGGGGAGGTTGGGAGGAGGGACCTAGGGGAGGGGTTGGGGGAATCTAGGTGGGATTGCTGGGGGGGAATTGGGGGTGGGGTTGGGGGGATCTGAGGGGGTGTTGGGCAGGTGGGGTTGGGGGAATCTAGGTGGGATTGCTGGGGGGTGGGGAATTGGGGAGGTTGGGGGATCTGAGGGGGGGCTGGGTGAGGATGTTAGAAGGTCCTGGGGGGTTGGGCAGGGGGATCCAGGGAGAGTTGGGGGGATCTAGGTGGGATTACTGAGGGGGAATTGGGGCGGGGCTCGTGGGGGCCCTCCCGTGGGGGGTGGATGACAAAGTGGGAATTTTCTGTCATACGGGGATGATTCCTGTGCCTGCCTCAGTTTCCCCCGCCCCCAGACTCCAGATCGCTGCCTGGTGGGTGCAGGCAGGGGGGTTTACAGCCACTGCAGGCAGCCCACCAGAGCCGTGTGGCGCAGGGGTCCTGGGGCTGGCTGGGGTGGAACAAATGGGGTGTGAAAGGCCATGACCCAGAGCAACTGGAGGGTCGGGAGAGACAAAGGGTCACTCCAGGGACCAGACAATTCACCCCGAACAAGGGGATTCTCCAGCTCTGGGCAGAGCTCCGGGGGTGAAGCAGGGGGACTGGAGCCCAGGGCTCAGTCTTAGAGGCCGGCAGGCCGCAGGGCCTGGCTCTGGTGGAAGATGGGGGGTCTGCCACTCCGATGGGTTCCTCCAAGGGACTGTTTAAAAGATGGGGCATGGCCCCGATTCCTGGGCAGGGGGATCCAAGAGGGGGCGATGGCGGGGATTGGGCAGGGGAGTCCTGGAGCTGGCTGATGGGGTGGGGGGAGTGCAGGAGGAACTGAAGAGGCTGTGAGGGGATCAGGTGGGGCAGGATTGGCCAGCAAGGGCCCATCACAAGGGGTTGGGAAGGGGGCTGCGGGGAGGGATTATTTGGCATGGGATCCAGGGGAGGTGTGGGGGGGGGGATTCCGGGGGCTTGTGGGGTATCTAGGGTGGGGGGGCAAGGCAGCGACTCATCCCTCACCAGCCCCAGTGGAACAAAACCCCCAAATCACTGGGATTTCAGCCTTGCATTTAAAAAGAGGAGCCAACCATGGGCCGGGGGCCATCGCGTGGGTCCTGCCCCACCGTGCGGGGAAACATCAGGAAAGGTCACATCCATTTCCAAACACTAGATGCGCCCCTGCCCAGTGCCTCCCCGACCATGCCAACGGCGCCTGCTCCCCCAGGACCAGTGCTGGCCCCGGCCCGGGTATTGGAAACAACCCGGGATCATGACAGCAATCCCCAGGGCCAGCTTGAGGACCAAGAGGCACCAAGGTTAGGGACCCAGATCCGGATAAAGCCGCCGGCCGAGGACCCCAGGACGGCTCCCGAATCTCGGCGTCCAGTTAAAAAAGAAAAAAAAAAAAGTTCCTAGCCGGCACGGCTGGGGAGGACAGTTTGGAAACGGGGCCGAAGCTGCCAGTGTCTGCAGAGGGCCCAAGCCGGCCGCTCGCGGGGTGGGAACAAGCAAGGAGGGGACATCAGAGCTGGCGTTTCAGCACTTAGCCCGTCTCTGGGGAACAGAGCTAATGGGGAAGGTGCAGGGGGGTCGGATGGGGGCGCTGAGGCCAGGCTGGGCTGTGAGCTGTTCCGTGCCCTGTGAGGGGTCACACACACACAGCGCAGGGTCCAGCCCCTCCAGCAGGGGGCGGCAGACATGGGACACACACACCCGTAGGCACACTGACATTCACTGTCTTTGTCACACTCTAAAAGAGATCACACACCCTGTGTCTCTTTGTCACAGCCTGTCTCTCTCTCGCACAGTTGCACACAGAGAATCACAGTTCCACACACAATCATACCGTCACACAATACCACGATAATCACCGACACCATTACACACACCACAATCACACCGTCACAGCCACGAGCATACAACTACACAGCCAAACAATCCCAGCCACAGTTACTCACACCACAATCACAGCCACAATCACACAGTTACAATCAGTCACAGACACAATTACACTCCTGCCAATAACGGCCGCAATCACACAATTACCCAGCCATACACACTCAATTACACACACAACCATCACAGTTACAGTTATACAATCACAGACACAATTAGACTCACAACACTCTGTCGTAGCCAGGATCACACAATCACCCAGCCATATAATCACAGATCCAATTACACACACAACAATCACGCTTTCCCAGCCATATAATCACTCACAGAGTTACAGTCTTACGATCACAGAAACAATTACACACACTGCAATCACAACGGCCATCACACAATTACCCAGCCATGCAATCACAGACCCAATTACACAACAATCACACAATCACAGCCGCAATCACACAGTTACCCAGCCATACAATCACAGCCCCAATTACACACACCACAATCCCCACAATCACACAAAATGACAGTCACACAATCACAGCCCCAATTACACACACCACCAGCACACAATTATGCAGCCAATCACAGCCACAGTTGCACACCCAGCAATCACACAATGACAGTCACACAATCACAGCCACGTTCACACAATCACACAATGACAGTCACACAATCACAGCCACGTTCACACAATCACAGCCACACGATCACAAATACAATTACACACACCACAATCGCAACCCACGATCACACAGTTACCCTGCCAGACACCCAGACCCTGAGTCCCCCCCCTCCCGGTCACCAAGGCACGACACCCGCCCAGCGACAGCCCCACCCCCGCCTGCGCCCCCCATCACACCCCCCTTCCCTCCCCCCGCTCCCCCTCTGCGCCCCCCCGCGCGGCGGGCCGGGTTCACCCCGCCGGCGACTGTCACCCGGTGCCCGGATGCTGATGCGGGGGGGGGGGAGGGGGAGGAGGCAGCTGGGGGGGGAGCCAGGGACGAGCATCCTCCAGCACCGGTCGCAGCATCCCTGGCGGGAGGGGGGGGGAAGGGCCCCCTCTATCATGCTGGTACCCGGGCGGTGAGCCTCCCTCCCAGCCCACCCCCCCCCCGGCCCCGGTCCCTCCACCCCTCCCCCCGGCCCCCCCAAATCCGCCGGCATGCGGGGCTGAGGGGCTGGGGCCTCCGTCTATTGTTCCTGCCCAGGGAGGGGAATCGAGGCGGGGTGGGGGGGGGAGGTGGCAGACAAAGGGGGCCCGGCCGTCATGTCCGGCGGCAAGGAGCCTGGGGGGCACCCCCCGGGCCCGGCCCCCCAGCACGCCCAGTACGTGGGGCCCTACCGGCTGGAGAAGACCCTGGGCAAAGGCCAGACGGGTGAGTCTGCGGCACCGGCCCCCCCCACACTCCCCCCCTGCGGTCCCAGGGGCAGATCCCCTGCCCTAATACCAGGGGATGGGTCCCAATACACCGCCCTTCTCCCCCCCCATTCCCTGAGGTAGATCCCCCGCCCTGATACCGGGGGGATGGGCCCCAATACCTTATCCTCCCGCCCCCCCATTGCCTGGGATAAATCCCCCGCCCTGATACCAAGGGGGTGGTTCCCAATACACTGCCCTTCCCCTCCCCCATTCCCTGGGGTAGATCCCCCGCCCTGATACCGGGGGGGCAATACAGAGTCCTTCTGCCCCCCATTGCCTGGGGTAAGTTCCCCGCCCTGAACCTGGGGGGGGGGTGGACTCTACAAGATATTTCATCCCTACCCCCCCACACACAGACACTTCCCAGCTTAGATCATCTGCCCAGATGCAAGGGTGATGGGCTCAGCGTAAAGGCCCCCAGTAGAATCCTTCCCACCCCCACTGGACCGGGCCAGAGTGTGGTCAGAGGGACACAGGAGGAATGTGGGCAGTCGGAGGGGGTTTAATATCCCCCCAGGGATGGAGCTGGGCGAGTTGGGGGTCAGTGATGCCAGGAGCTTAGGGTAGGGAGGTTGATAGACTTTTGGGGTCTGGGGTGAGGTCAGTGGAGTTGTGGGGTCATGGAATGGGGGGTCCCTGGTGCGATGGGGTTGGGGGGTCATTGCAGCCATGGGATCTGGGGTGGGGAGTCCCTGGTGCGATGGGGTTGGGGGGTCAGTGCAGCCATGGGATCTGGGGTGGGGGCTGTACCTTTCCTGGGTAGGACTGAGAAGTGTGTGTGTGGGGGGGTGCTGGGAGTCAGTTTTCCAGGAGCTCTGTGCATGGTGAGGGTGGGGGGATGGGGAGCAACCCCAGAAGTGACGGGGGGGGGAATCCCAGCCTGGCAGGGGTGCATGTGTGTGTCTGTTTCACCTCTGTCCCGGGGGCGGGCTGGTCAGTTTCACACCTGGGCCTTGGGGTGGGAATGGGGAGTGGGGCTGGACGGACAGACTCTGGATCTGGACCCACTGCAGCCAGTACAGGGGTCTTGAGGGAAAATCTCTAGGCAGAGGGCAGGTGTTTGTGTGTGTGTGGGGGGGGGTTCTGCTGCAGGGAGTGACGGGGGGCGGGGGGGAGGTGCCCAGCCCAGATGTCCATTAGGTTCCTAGCCAGCAGCCCGGAAAACCCACTGTCCATCCCATCCCCTTGTGCTG